ATGATGATAATAATAATAATTGTAACAAAATTATAAAATAGCCTATGAAGAATTAATTGAAATTCATCATTCGAGACAACCATTCATTGTGTTGACCTGAACTTATACAATAATTATAATAGAATACAGTTTAAATGTAAATAAATGTTAATTCATATGTCATATTTGTATATATATAGTTCACATAGTTTATTTAGTCAATTAAAACTAAATGAAAGTAAGAAAATTAATTAATATAAAGACAGTTTCTTTAATGAACTGAGATAAATGAAGTGATGACTGATATCTATCTATCTATCTATCTATCTACCTGTGACAGTGAATCGTCATGTATATTTGATTGGCATCTTCTTTGATACTAAACATATGCTTTACTTTCTAGTTCTAACTAGCACAATATCGAATTCATATAAAGTTCCTACAACTATCTAATACATGCATATATGTGGGACAATAAACAATCTTATCCCACAGTGATAGATAAAGAGATACTTGGATGATACTGTACAAGTTATGCATACATAACTATTGTATTTAATCGAAGGCACACAATTTTTGAAAAAGAATAAGAGGATTTGTTACAAGAGAGTTTTTATTATTTTTTGATACAACTATTCTACATTTGTAATGTATTTGTAAAACGCTAAAACACACACGAAAAATTTAGTATATTAAAGATTAAAAAATCAATGAGGAAATAGTTAAGTTTTATGACTAACTGTTAGTGTGTAAATATAAGAGAGTGATTTTTTCTTGTACCGTACTATGTTTACTACTAGTCCATAGCTCGGAGAGTTGGGTATAGTGTTTGAAACTGCATCCCGTAAAAAAGAACCCAATATATGTAAAAAAAAACTCTAACCAGAAAGAAATCATTTGAGATAACTGAGTCAAATAAAAATAAATTCAAGTTTTTTTCTCATAAAATTATTTTAATGGTTGAATTCATGAGTTAATTAAAGCTAGATCATCATGGAAAACGGTCATTTATTTAAGAAATCCTATACATTCTTAATGGATAATAATGTTTATCGTGAAATGTATATCAGACACTTAAAACAATTATGTTATATATTATTCTGCATGAATTCATCATTATTATTGTCTTTTGCTAACAAATGCTATTATATTTTGTTGGGTAGATTTATTTTCATTATTATGTTTGAATTAAAGACAATGGTAACCCAATCATTCCAATTTCTTACCTCTTAGAACTTTTTATGTTTCACTATTACACATTTATTTATTTAAATTATTAAGTTGTTTTATATTCAGTTGTTATTTAATAATTCAATTATTTTAAAAGATTCTATTGTTTATTTGTTTATTTATTTATCCATTTATTTACGTTTTAATCATTTTCACAATGAAATTTGTTTTAATTTGATAATTTATATTTAGATTATTTTTAAAAAAAGTAATTCAACAGATTTAAATGATTGTTTACAATCATTATCATCATCATCATCATCATCATCATCATCATCAGCATCATCATCATCATCATCATCAGCAGCAGCAGCAGCATCAGCATTACTATTGCCCAACAGCACCGCCTATCTATCTATCTATTGCAATTTTTTCACTGTCTAATTTATTGAATTATCAGTCGGTATCTAAATAAATTACTAAAATATATTTATTATTGTTACTAACTCTAATCAAATAATAATAATAATACACTTGGCTTTTTATTGTAACTCGAATTTTACTAGATAAATTGTAGCTGTGATTAGGATTGTTTAAATTATCTAGTTCAATCGTTTTGTAAATCTTAATAACTATATTTTTGAACGAAATTGACAAGGATGTAATTCGTAGGAATATAATTCTTGTGTATCTGTATGCTCGTTTCAATGTATCTTGGTGTGAGTTTATCTTTGAATTCATTTACGAATGGTTCGAAATGCTATTAAGCCTAAAATGAATTGTTTTTTTTTTCTACCAAAGAAACTTATATTGATGAGGTATATTCATTGTTTTTTCTAAGTTAAGACAAGATGGAACTGAACGATTATAGATAAATGCATATAGATTTGTAATGTTAGGGAAGATTTGTAACTCAGGTGAATGATTTTGATGAAGTTTTGTTCTCTGTGTATATAGATTTCTTTTTAATTGGTTATTCTTTTAGGAAATCTTAATAATTCCCGGGGAAAATTTTGCGGAAGCCGGTAGAAATACTAGAAAATATTTCAATGACTCAGTGTTCTGTGAAAATGTTTAAGAGAAATCCAGAAATAAATTGATTATGGTTTTCTGACACTGATTGAATAATTACCAAATCGATTAATGAATTTTTAGTATGTTCTTTGTATATGTATTGAATTTTAACGGCCACACAGTTCAATAAATACACTGGTATTTTATACATAATCTAATATTTGTAGTAAAATTGCTTTTGAACTATCTTTTTATATTGATTTAAATCTGAATAATTTTTGGTGTCTGGGAATCGATTAGAAAGTTGTCGTCTAAGCTTTCAAGTAAAATATTCACCGTTATCAAGTTATGGTAGCATGTTCTAGCATACTAAAATTAGATAAGCTTCCATATTTAGATAAAATTTACTCAAAGACATGGTGGTACGAGATCAAACTTTTTTATTGCATAATTTGAATGTGAAATCCCAGTAGAAGATTGGTAGATAGTTATCAGTCTATTATTTACTAGAGGTCCATTGAAACCCAATAAAGTAATAGACAATTATTTTATCCTTAAACGGTAAGTCCCTACACTTTCAAGTATGACCGTGGACTGAAGGTATCATGTTTTCCAAAAAATGTCCGATAATTCCATATTCGATTTTGCGTATAATCCTTCAGAGTTTGAAACATAGGCAGCAACAGGCATTCAAACGCTTTCTGCATTTTGCTGGTCTCTAAAATGACATCAAAATTGGTGATATACTCTTGTTTCAGTTTATGTGGTTAGACATGTAACCGGTAATAATTCCATGTAATTTATCGAAAAATAAATATGTGTAATGTATTCATACAACAAACCATCGCTGGACGTACATTGCTAAGCAAGACAGTATTTAAGAAGCTTTCAACTAATTAAAAAAGTGTCTTGAAGAATTTGTTGTTTGATGTCGTCCACTTGTTACGATAATCAAGGATAATGTTCATAGTATATATAAACTTTACAAATTTCTGAAATGCCCATTATCATGTTATTCTTGTAGAATCTGTCAGATTAGAGATATTTGTCAATATTTTAGGAAATAAGTAATCTGAATGTAAAAGGTCAAAACACTTATGTTACACTAATAATGTGAGCTAATTTGAAATTCGTTTTCTGTTTGTTCATTACTTTCCATCATCGTTAATGAATCAAGATTTATTACTATGTCGAAAACAAACATATCATTATCAAAGATGCATGGTAGCTAGCAGTGAAATCTAGGATGCGCATTTTTTTCTATTTTGGACTCGTCAGCTGGATTTATCTGCATGCTACAATTGATGTTCATTCCGAAACTCGAGCCTAGTACCGTTTGTTTCGAACGCCATCGCTTTATCCACTTATCAACTGAGCTCTGAAAGCTACTTGCTTGTGCAATGTGATGAAGTTTAAATTCGTTTCGTATTATTTACTTGTATCTTCTCATTGTTATTTAGGACTGCAATCGATCAATCTTCGCTTATATCATTAGTTTGACTCCTAACTCAACTTTGTATTTTCAGAAAAATTCGTTAATCTGTTATGCTTGTAAAATTGATTATACCTTATGTCGCTACCTAGTAAAATTAGAACAATTTCAATAGTTGAAATAATGAATCAATTGAAGCTAGACCCTCATGAAAAATCTGGAAGCAATGGAATGCCGTTTCGTCCTAGTATGGGACTACTCAGCAGTGCACATCCACGACCCTGCCTGTCGCGAGATACGAATCCAGGACCTACCACTCTCGCTCGCGAACGTTTAATCACTGGATCACTGAGCCGGCATGCAGCGGTGTTAATGTCTAACTTCAACCAACCCACAAAGTTGCGTCACCGTACACCGTTGTCTTCAGTGAGCTGATGTCTCACAATAGACCTGGTTGAACACCACTTGGTAACAGCTTCTTACTAGAACTGCAGGGAATGCCTCTTGAAATCAGCCATTGGTGAGCAGATGATTATTATCAGAAGAGGTTTTGTGAGGAATTGAATAACTTCAATAGTTAAAATCATGAGTTAATTAATGCTAGATTAGTATGAAAAACCTGGAAGTAATGGATAGCTGTTTCGTCCTAGTATAACACTCGTTATCAGTGTATATCGTTAATCTTATTCTCCGGATTCAAACCTATCACCTATCAATCTCATATACAAACATTTAATCTTTAAACTATTCTGTTATCATCCAATCATATTATTGTTTAATTTTAATAAATTTAATTATGATTTAAATAAATAATTAACTTTTATTTTAATATTATTTTTAGATTATCCATCATTAATAAACTGTGATATAAACCAATGAAGTTAAATATTATTAAATTATTCTATTATTATTATTATCATTATTATCAATATTTATATTATATTATTCAAATTATAATTCAATATGAGAAATATTTCAATTATTCAATAATCAATTTATTGATTCAATTAATCATAATTATTAATTGGATTCATTTTATTCTATTTATCATTTTTATTATTATTATTATTACTATTCTTTATTCATATTTCACATTGTATAATCAAATTGAACAATATAATATATTTGAAATAATTACATATAGATTTATATTATTCATTATTCATTTATATAACAAGGATTTATTATCCATTACTAACAATACTACTAATACTACTATCGTTATTATTAGTAGTATCATTATTATTATTATTAATAGTAGTGGTTCCGTTATTTTCTATCATCATTATTGTATAAAATCATTATGTTTATTAAAATTATGTTCATAGAATGGTTTTGGTGGAGATTATATCATTATAGATATTGGAAATCAATTATTATAATCTATTTTAAATGGATTATTTATATGGATTTATTGATTTCATTATTAAATTTAAATAAAATTGAATCAAATCTTATTATTATAAAATCAAATATGTCTTTCAATAATAACATATCGTTTAATTTATATAATAATAATAATAGTAATCATATAAAAAATCAATATATTATTGATCATCATCATCATCATAATAATAATAATAATAATAATAAAAATACATCAAATATTCAAATAATTCATAAAATTGAACGTCGTAGTAATTTAAAACAATCACCACAGCAACAACAACAACAACAAATAACAAATTATTATGAACCTGAAGAAATTTTATCACCAGATTATACATTACCTTATCAAGATATAAAATGTATGGAATTTATTCAATCAACTGAAATTAAATATATTAAAGATTCATCAATGTTAAATGGATTTTTTGGTATGTCTAATTTACCAAAACGTACAATTGAATATAGTTTTCAAACACCAAATTATCCAGCACCATATCCATTAAATATTGAATGTATTAAAGTAATTGCTGGTAAGTTTATAAATCAAAAGATTAATTAATTTGTTTATTATTTTTTTTTTATTACAAAAAGAAAAATGAATTATAACAGTTGAATTCATTAGACTTTAATGCTTCTTGATTTAGACATCAATTAGATTGGATGATGATTATGACAGAGCTTACCACTTTAATGGATTAGGGATCTGACTTATTTGAGATCGTTTTTGATTGCTATTGAGTTATACATATAGTCAATTCTCGTATATAATTATTAACTTAGATCGTGTTAGTGAATAACGGAATTAAATAAGTCAAATACGAGAATGAATTTTGTTCACTCATTGATCTGGATTGGAAATCAGAGGGATAAAACGAATAGAAAAGAGCGGAACAAAATAACGTACAGTGGAGAAGGCATGTGAGTTAACTCCATTTAATCAAGCGTTAATCAATATTTATAGTCACATAAAATTAAGTTACTGATATGTGATGAATAGGATAAAAAGTGTACACATATACGCTTACATAAGAACAGTAAAGATTGGTAAGCGAATAATTAAAAAGGTCAAAATGTGACTCAAGTTCAATGAATAGACTGACCTGTCCGAAAGCTAGAATAAGATATATGGGCTTAACATAACAATCGACACTAAAAGACCACCATCGAGAGCCTGGAAATACTGAACGGCCAATTTGTCTTAGAATGGGACTCTCCGACAGTGGAGACAGTTATGCACATTATAAAATGGATGAAGGATTGCGAAAGATCACGAATCGCTTAAATTTAGACATTAACACCGTTAGATGCCAGATCAGTGGTCATGCGTGAGACTGAAGTTCTTGGATTCCAGTTGCTTGAGCTTTCCATTGAAAAGTCTCATAATAAGATATAATGACTGATTATTATAACTAAAACACTTATTAACCTTACTTGTTATGAAGTCGAACATGTCACATTTGTCAACTTGAGAATGAAAACAAGTTAAACAGTGAATTTATGATGTTATCATAAAAAAGTGGTGATTTTTATGTAGGAACCGGTATTTATTTTCAAGAATTATCATTATGATTATTATGCTTTTATCGTGAAAATAATACAAATAAATATGAAAGCTAAAGATTTAGATCTTTACCTTGGGTTGTGACTATGAAAGGCTTCAATACATACAAAATAATTTTAGTGATTTGCCATGATTTACATTAATGTCTGTTCAGTTAATGTCTATCCAATTAATTAATCATCGATTAGTGATTAATTCAACAACTGTCTAGTCCTTTTTTATCACTGGTCAAACTCTATCGATTAAGTCTTAAAGTGATCAATAATCCAAACAATTCAAACATTATATTCAAACTTTAACTGATTCTTAATAGACAATAAGAAAACTTACTTAACTTAAATTCTAATATTATTTGTCACCTATCAACAAGACAGCATATAAGATCATGAAGAACTAACATTTTCTTGTCAAAATTTCATCTTATATTATTCAACTTTACAATTTGAAATATGATTACAGAATTATTCAATCAACAATTGACCTCTTCTATACATACCATAAAATAAACTTCTAAAATGTATTCATCTACCAGAATTCTCTTCTTGAAAATGCTTATTGTTTCAAACAAACAAAAAGCTTTTCTAAGCAAAGATGGATATTTGATACAAATGTTCGTCATGATTAGAACGAATAGTTTGATAGAAATTAAGCGCCGAGTATAGAGAAGTCATTATATGTAAAAATTATATTTGAAATAATCTCAGCGATTAAAATGTAAATAATTCCAACGTTTAAAAAGCTATATATTTCTTTGATGATTTTGATTATTACCCTGAAGAAGTCCAGATAAGTTAGCTGGACGAAACGTTGAAATTATTTAAATTTCAATCTCTAAGATAATTTCAAATATAATTTTTACATATGAAGATGGATAGTGGCTAGCAGTGGAATCCAGTTTGACGTGCGTTTCGTCTGATTTGGGACTCGTCAACTGGATGCACTTACATCCTAGAGTTGATGTTCATTCTGGGACTCCAACCCAGTACCGTTTGCTTCGAACGACACTATTCATCTTTGCTTTAAAAAATGCTTGTCACTTAAGGCTCTATCGTTGCAATCCTCACAGAATGCACATATGCCAGCATAAGATTGATCGATTTCAGTTCTAAATAACAATAGGAAGATACAAGTAAGAACAACATCAAGTAAATTGAAACGAAAAGATTGTTTTTTATTTCTACGAACCATTTAAACAATTCATAGCATGAGTAGTATATAAATAAAATGAAATTTATTTATTTAATTATAATTTATTTTCTTTTCTTACTAAAATAAAACCATAACAAAGACAATAACACCAATAACGTTTTTTTTTTTTGAAAAAAAATAAAGAAAGAGGAGAATAGAAAAAAAATGAAATAGAATGTGAAAAAAAAACAAAAAAGAAAAAAACAGTTTCATTCTTCCATATTTTCACTTTACCAATGTTCTATATATTTCATTATGTGTTCTTCTACTATTTTATAAGTACTTATTCATTAACTTACATAGACATGCATACAATGTCGCCTTTGTCGATTGCCAACATTCTTTTCTTTCTTTTTTTGTTTGTTTGTTTTGTTTCTGTGATAATATAATCAATCAATCGATTATAAATTGTTTATTATTATTATTATCATGGTTATTAATATTGTTTTTCGACAGGCAATTTGTTAGAAGAGGGAACAGGGAATCGGTTCGATGAATTTAAATTAATTCAATTTTATTTTTTTTTAAAAAAAAAGAGGGGAGCTACTTTGAAAAACAAAACGGTAAAGTAAATATTAATGGATACATTCTATATGTGAGAATAAATGATGAAATAATTTAATCGGATAAAAGATATTTTTAAAATAAAATTTAGTATTTGTATAACTGTCGAAGTCTTCATCATCATCATCATCATCATCATCATCATCATCATCGTCTTCTTCTTGAACTAGAATTCGGAACGTTTAGTGAGATTTAATGTGCTTGAATCGAATTTAGTTAGATAATATGTGCCAATTGTGGAATATATATATATATGTCTGTCTCTCTAAAAATATATGTATGTGTCTATGGTTAGTTGCAATGAAGTAGAAGTGTTTGCGTGTGCAATTAATGAAGACAAATTTTGATGATTGATGCTATCCGTTATGTTCTCCTTATTGAAGTTTGTATTTTATTCATGATTTTTGGACATATGTATAACAAGCAACGACATATAACTCTAGAAGCTTTGAATAAAATCTTTGATGAAAGTTATATTTGAGTTTGTAGCCCTATTCCATTACACAAGTTTTAAAAAAAATGAATGAAATAGCTAGTAATAACATGTGAGTTGAACAATGAAAATCTGGTGAATGGCCTTGAGTAGTTTAAACGACGTAAAAAAACTGTCTGGATTACTTTTTTTTACAAATGAAAGAAGTGAGTTTCACTACTGAATTACATGATGAATAGTAGTGGATTTGCTCCTGAAGATTATAATTATGAGATCTTAATTTATTGGTTATTCTAAACTCATCCTTGAAAGTAAACAATGCTTTACTTGAATCTTTTAATCAACTAACTTTTTCAGAAATGCAGAAATACAACCGTATAGTTTCTTTTACTTATTCGGTTTTCAATGACTGATTCCTGATCTATTCATGGGTTTTTCATAGAACAAAATAATACATTATCGTTTAACTTGAGAAAGGTAAGAAATAAAGTTATTGCAATCAAATCCCTGTTCGAAGAAAAAGATGAAGTGAGAAAAAAAGTTATTATAACAGCATAAAGAGTTGAACAGTTTTAACATAGATAAATGGAGGCTATTCACTGTTAGAAAATTTGTTAAGATATAGTTTGTGTTTAGTATACACAATTTAAATAGGTCTAAGACGGGAATTCTATGCAATATTAATTATTTTATGTCTAGAATTCGATTGTGATTATTATTAATAATTAAACATAAATATCCTTAATGATATATTACTCCTGTATGCAAACATAACATGATGATGTCAAATAGAATGTGTGTCGAAACCTATTGTGTTTATATGAGAAAGTTTCAATATTACTGCAATAGTGAAGGTTTCAATGTTATTTTGACGATATAAATTTCTTCTATATTTTTTGATTATTTTGATTAAACTACTTATTAGTAATAAATTGATTTTTATTCTTCAAATGAAAAAATTATCTACAATAAGTTAACAATTAAATGAATATTAAGGTGTGGTGATTTCGATGAAGTTTCATTGTCTAAAGGGGTTAGTTTATTAACGTAGTTTTTACTGTTTCTCTGGACAATATCATCAGCACAAACGTCAGGTAGAACTCATCCATATTTAAGTAACAACTGCAAGATTAAAACATTCAGCTAAGGGAACGAAACTCCATCAAGATCATTCGTCTCAACAATAGATCTTCTTCACTGTCTATAATGAATTGGATTTTTTAGAGGATGGTTGTCAGAAAATTAATGTGTTTACTTGAATTCTTTTGTAGGGTAGATTTTGGAGTACACTAATAAGAATGAGTACTATTATGAAACAAAAACTTACATCAAATAAATAATTAGTGCGAATTATGATGTAAAGAACGAACGTTTTCGTCCAGTATAGAATATTGCGTCCTACAGCTCATTTTAGTAGCTAATATACATTTTCTTGCACTTCCCCACCTACACGTGCAGATTAGAGAGAGTAAGAATGTATATGAAGTTTTCATACTCAAGTCCGTATTAGTTGGAACGCCCCAGTAAGGCACTTTTGAGATTTTGAGTAGAATGCTTCACTTTAGTAGATTTGAACTCTCACTACCAAGTTCTACATCTTACGATGATTTAGCTTAAGTATTCAGAAAGCGACCTCTCAGTTCTACAAGAAGTTTATTGAGGCTCGAATCACCCAGAGGTCATGTCTTCTAATATGAAATCAGCAACATGATTCTGAATACCTCATTGATTATTGTTGTTTGCCATCACGAAACATTGATCGATGAAATGTGCGTGTATGTTTTTCTTCAAACATATAACATATATTTCTACTAAATAATATTTCATTTGTGTTTTGAACTTAATCAAGTAGATACATATTTGAAGTTTATAAAATTTACATCAGTTAGTAATTTGGTAATAATGTTAGATCCATTTATAACTGAGCTCTTTATCTAATTAAATTGTAAGATCAATCACTAACGTATTTTTTTCACTGGTTAGTTTTATTCACCAAAAGTGTGCTTACTAGATAAAATGTATTTTGGATAAGTCAGTCTTTTTTCCTTCTTGGAATCAGGCAAAGTCCAATGTTAAAGTTGTAAGATAGACAATTTTATTAAAATCTCGCTCACTGTATTAAGTAGTTAAATTCTTTATTATGGTAGAATCCACTCAATGATGCTAAGAATAAATGAAAAAAGCTGATACAAAATAAGTACTGAAGTGAACAAGAGCCCAAGAGGAGACAATCTAATGTATTATAATGAAACATTACAGAATGACAGTAAAATTTGAGAACCATACAGTAAATATTTCATTTACATGATGTTAATCAACTGTCTTAGACTTCATTGTTCTTTCGTTTCCATAACAATCACTCTCTATTCTCGTTCTATTTTCTTTAATCTTCTTAGCCTTCTTCTGTCAGGCATTTCACTTTCAACTGATAACAAATGCTACTGATATCTGTCGATATCAGTAGCACACGCCGTAATACTTCTAACCTATTAGAAGAAATACCACACTCATCTGATCATGTACAAAAAAACACATTAAAGAAGTCTATTGTCGTATTTTCAGCAGTAAGACGATCTACTACAATAATTATGGACAATAAAAAATAACATTAAGGAAGCTTAAGAGTTACTTGAGAATTAAAACGTGTACTAGCTAATGACCACAGATCGTGTTAAAAAGTTGACACAATCAGATCTGTACGTTGTTGAACAATCTCGTCAAAACTTGATAAACATCACGGGATAAGTAAGTCATCCAGCTCAAAAGAACACAGTTTTAGTAGATTCATCCTTACAATGTATAAATTTTCTCCATCAAATCATAAGGGAATGACAGTTGGGAGTTAAAGTACTTGTTTTTTTGTGTTATTTAATCATAAATTTATCTGAATTTCAAATTAATTGATGTTGAGTATATATTGAAGATTTGAGTATTATCACTTTTACGGGTTATATCTCTACATTGATCAGAAGTAACAAAACTAGACAAAATGACCATTAGGGTTGTCGGTAGATTTTGTCAGGAACTCCTGACAATCGCTAGAACATGTCTCCAAAAGCCAGAAGAATGCTAAAAATACTTTGGCAAATCAATGTTTTGCAAGGACTTCCAAATGAACCGTAGAAGACAATCGAAAATGTCTTCACTATTTTGACTGAAGAATTACTGATTCTACTGTTCATTCTGGGAATTCTTTCAGAAGTTTCTCATGTCTTTAGATCGTACATAATTCTTGTTCTTCATGCATGAATTTAACTTTACACCTTTTGTATTACATTTAGCGATCAATTGTAGAAGACTCTTGAGAACTAGAAATCGGTTAGGAAGTCAGTATCAAGCATTTTAAATGCAAAGCGTATAAGCTTTTCAATTCTTACTGATTTATAATGAAATTATAAATATTTTTATTTGATGTATTACGTAAATCACATTAGTATGTTTTGTTATAACTCACGTGTATAGAAATCTATTTTCCCCAATTTCGTTTTTTTTACACACAGCACCTACAGATCAACATCGTATTGTGTTACATTTTCGTGGAACATTTGAATTAGAACCGGAATCACATTGTACAACAGATTTTTTAGAAATAAGGGATGGTGCTTTTGGATTTACTACATTATTGGGAAGATTTTGTTCAAAACAAGTGCCTGATTTAGGCACTGGACTCATATCAACTGGTCAATATATGTGGTTACGATTTCATAGTGATTCAACTATTGCTCATAGAGGATTTCAAGCAGTTTATCGGTTTATTCAAACAGGTAAGTCACATTGATAGGTATTTTTTTAATAAAATGGTTTTGTGAAGATTAATTTATTATATATGTAATATCTGTCATAGACCTATTTCGGTTCGGACATCATTGAATACCCCAAAATATTGAATAGTATAGGAACTTGCAAGGATACCTGATTGTCTTGAGTTTGATCTTTAGTGTTCACATACTGCTGAGAATTTCTATAATACAAAGAAATCGTTGTTGATTTTTTTCTGATTCTCATGGAGACATCAACTGAGATCAATCTATAGTGACATATATTATATTAATTTTCTGTTCGAATCAGTCGTTATTGTAAGCGAAAGATGCTTAAGATAATGGATTAGTTTCATCTAGACAATTCTTGAAATCTCAGGACCATTGGATAATTTAAGATTACTTAGAAATGTCCATTACCGACTTTGCTAGAGAGTGAATTCAATATTCTCAGTCTTATGAGTAGAGAGTTGACCATAGACCACCGAGTCGAAATCAAATATTTAGCATTTCTTTCTAAATTAGTTCATGATATTGCACATTCATCATTTTTTCCTAACAGTGATACCTATTTCGCTACTAGAACTGAGAGAAAAAGTTAGGAAACCTTCAAAGTTCTGTTTTATTCACTTACCTACTGAGCTATATAACATAAACAAATACCTAATTTTAAGTTTATTTAACCACTGAATAAATGAATATCTTATCAGTTAAATATAAAACCTTTTATATATTGATAATTGACACAGTGAGACAACTGCTAGTGGATTCATTCCAGGATTACACTATTTATTCATCTATGTAACCTTAGGAATAAATTCTATTCGAAAGAGCTTAGCATAGTTTCTAACATCATTACCTTTTTGAAATAATCTTAGTTATAGGAAACCTTACCAATTACTTTGAAATTCTAAGAAATCTACATATTCGTAGTTGACAAAGCTTAAAGAATAAACATTATTTAGATATTCGTTAGCACTATTAAACAAAAAAATGATCCTGATTAACTAGATGATGCAAACATACGCACATATATACATAAATGCATATAAACATGCAAAGAATAAACCTCTTCACATAAGTAGATATATTAAAACTTAGTAGATGAAACTCGATAAACTTTAAGAACTTATATAACATAATATTAGTTGTGATTCAGTGAATGATTTATGTTAACATTATAGTCTTGCAGCTCACTGTTAACATATCTGACTATGACAATGTGTGATATGGTTGAAACGCCACAAGATTATATATATATATATATATATATATATATATATATATATATATATATATATATTACGAAACATATTTATCCACTCATGTTTCACTTTTAGGTTCACACAAGCCAACGGATAGTGTTTCACGTGAGTTAAACTTTTTCTATAAAAAGTTATTAAAAGCTTTTTACTTATTCCTGTTACTCCTCGTGGAGGAGCATAGGTCGCCCAAAAGCACTCTCCACTCACCCCTATCCTCAGCAATCCTTTCCAGCTCTTTCGAGTTGCTATTCATCTTTTTCATATCTCCCTCTATTTCCCGACGTAATTTGTTCTTTGGCCTTCCTCTTTTCCGTTTCCCTTCAAGATTCCAAGTTAGAACTTGTCTCGTGATGTAGTTTGGTGATTTCCGTAATATATGTCCCATCCACTACTATAGACGTTTTTAATTTCCTCTTCAACTAGAAGCTGGTTTGTTTTCTACCATAGTAGGCTGCTACTGATGGTATCCAACCAACGGATGTTGAGGATCTTTTATAGACAACTATTTATAAATACTTGCACCTTCTTGATGAAAGTACAATATCAGTACAATATCGTTTCATGATCTCAATCGAAATAATCTTAATTAGATAAGACTCATTGGACAACTGTTTTATTCTAGTATGATCTTAGTACGCTTAATCACTTTGCAAAGAGATTTGTAAGTTTCAAGTTCAATATCCAATGAAATCTTAAATAAGAATTAAATTCAAGTCTTTTATTAGGGTAGAATGGCTATACAATGCCTTATATTTCCCAAAGTTTAAATTAGTCTATTGTTGTGGTGATCCAGAAAACTTCTTGCAAAAGACAAGAAAGTCTCGGGATACACTAAGAAGCACTCTATCCAATCAGTGTTCACTAGAAGTTTAGCCAAAAACATCAAGAAATTGAAAAGTCACGTTTAGAGTTTCTGATTAGTTGATTACTGTACTGCTACTATGTTTAATAGCATTCTAGAATTTTCTGGAACCTCAAGGAGATCTAAAGTACTATAAAAACCCTATATTTTCTGTACTAAAACAAACCTTTGGAGTAAAGTGCTTCACACATATTTTGTCCCTTTTCTCTCATGTTTAGGTCGCTGTGTAGTTCTAGCTTGAGAGTTACGAGAATAGCTTAGAAACTGAATATAGCGTTCAATTAGCAAGACATATCATCAATAATATAAGACCTAATCATATTTCATTTGAATAACGTGGGGGGGGGTATTTTCTCTACAAACAAATTCAATAAGCAAGTAAATAAGCATTTTTCTAATCAATTACTGATTAGAAGTAAACGTTTGTAACAACATAGTATACAAGAAAATGAAGGAAAAATACACCCTACTCTTCTTTCCCCCCTCTCTCTCTCATTCTTTCTGTCTTTCTCAACTTAAACAAACAAATGTTCATATTTCAATGTTGTTGATACATTTTTCAAAAATAAAACTTTTTTTCCAATAATATACATTTTTTACAGAAAATACAATATTTTTGCTCTATCTTTCCTGTTATTAATTTTATTATTATTATGCTTGTATATATTACTCATTACTGGTTTGACTAATATTAAACAAATATAAGTGTTTTGTTAGTAGAATAAAATTAGTTTAATATCTACTTACTATACTTATATAATAAGCTTATAGTAGTAGTGATAATTATTTAGTAAATTTTTGAAGAATATCTTTTTTCCTCTCTCTCTCTCTTTAACATAAATACACACACACACACACAAATACATATGAACATATTACCACACACATATAGGTCTGCCTATTCATGTACATACATATAGTCGATCTTCATAGATAAGATGTTCTATGTATATACATATATATATATGTATATATACGCACATGTAGCTGTACACTGTATAACATTGAAGAGACACAAGAATACCGCCATCAGTGGTAACAGCTGAAATGCTAATATAATAATCGTAATATTAATTGTAATAACATTATGATTTATTAAGGGAAAAAAGATAACAAGTAGGCGTAACGAAAGCTCTTGTTTAATTGGAATTAATTTAGGTCACGCATATCACTACTATTACTATTACTACTACTACTACTACTACTACTACTACTACTACTACTACTACTACTACTACTACTATTATGGGGCCATTTGACATTAGTTCTATGCAAAAATTCGATTAAGAAAATGATTTGAAATAAAAAGAACTTGAGAAAAATGAAACTGTAATGATTTTTATGATTTGATTGTACAATAAATTAAATTTTTGGAGCTTATGAAATAATATAGTACTTTTATTACTACTACAATTGTGGTGTGTACTACAGATATCAACAGATATAAGTAGTATGTATCATCGGTCAAACGTGAAATGCCTGAGAGAAGGTCAAGAAGATCGAAGAGAAGAGAACGAGAAAAGAGAGTGATATACATTCTTATTGTACAACTATTGAGTAACTATATTATTTGTATATTCATATTACTTTCATTATAAGCTCTTAATTCACTAATCGGTAACTGTTATATGATTTACTACTCTCGAGTTATTCTCAATCTATTAGTCACAGTTTCTCATAATCACTTCGAATTTTGGTTTGATCTTGTACAAACATTATTTTCTATTTTATGGTGTGATGTAGTTTGATTTGTTTATATATAAGCCCAGTATGTTTTCAATATATGATTCATAAAGTGGGGGCTGATATTGGTGTTCTATGTTGAACCGGCTAGGTTAAGAGTGAATCAAATATCCCGGTGGACTAATAAGAATCGAGAATTTTCTATGAACTGCTCGTACTGGTTTATGTATCATTGGCCAGGTCAGTAAGTCGGTGTTCTAAGTGGCGATCATATCACGTGATAATTAACAAACTATATGAACATAATAAAAGCCAGTAGGAACCACTCAGAATACGATTAACAAGTGATTTGTTTTACATTCAAATTAATGATAAATTAGCCAGCTCACATTATTTTATGGTGTCAATCACTTTAGAGTTGTAAGCCTAGAGTTGTGGAAACTGTTGAATTTCACTGAAAACATGAATCGATCAGTGTTAGGCCATCATTGCAAACTTGAAGGTACTAGACAACCGTTTCGTCCTGGTATGGGACACCTAAGTAGTGCACATCCACGATCCCACACGCGTGATTCAAAACCAGGACCTTTGGTCTCTCACAAGGACGCTTAACCTTCAGATCACTGAGCCGGAAACAAGTAGTGTTAATTTGGGATTTGTTGAAGTTATTTTATCAATTCAACCAGTAACATAGTGAAATGAAAATATGACAGTATTTAATTTGAAATAACATTTTCTATTTAAAGATTAAATCAGTAAACATACACCTGTATTATATGTTATTCATACTAATTATAGTTGTTTAAAAGAGGTAAATATAAATTGAGATAATATTTAAACAGAATAATTATTTTAATATTTAATCATCACGTTACAAATGAACCATTAATTTGATTTGAAATAAAAAGAAAAAAGAGAAACTTCACTTGTCACTTAATTACTTACGCCTGTTACTCCCAATGGAGCATAGGCCGCCAACCAGCATTCTCCAACCCATTCTGTCCATGGTCCTTTCTTTCGAGTTCTATCCTATTTAAGTTCATTTTTCTCATGTCTGTCTCCATTTCCCGGCGTAATGTGTTCTTTGGTCTTCCTCTCCTCCTTCCACCTTGAGGATTCCATGTGAGGGCTTGTCTTGTGACGTAGTTCGGTGCTTTCCTCAGTGTGTGTCTTATCCACTTCTAGCGCTCCTTCTTGATTTCTTCCTACACTGGGATCTGGTTTGTTCTCCCCCATAGTAGGTTGTTGCTGTTAGTGTCTGGCCAACGGATCCGAAGTATTTTGCGCAGACAACTGTTAGTAAACATTTGTATCTTCTGGATGATGGTTTTCGTAGTTCTCCAAGTTTTCGCCCTATACAGTAGAACTGTTTTGACATATGTATTGAAAATTCTGACTATGGTGTTGGTTGACAGTTGATTGAGTTCGAAATGTTCTTAAGTTGCAAATATGCTGCTCTTGCTTTGCCGATCCACATCTTCACATCTATTTCAGATCCACCGTGTTCATCAATGATGCTGCCCAAATCTGTAAAGGTTTTTATATCTTCCAAGTCTTCTCCATCAAGTGTGATTGGTTTGGTGCATGTTGTGTTGTATCGAAGAATTTTGCTTTTTTCTTAGTGTGTGTTGAGACCTACTGCTGCTGACGCTGCTACTACACTGGTCGTCTTCTTCTGCATTTGTTACTTAAATGTTCCCATTGATGTTTTGGACTGCAATTTATCAGTCAATTATTGGCATATGTGCATGATGTACAGATTGCTTCAATATTACCTTAATTCACAAGCATTATAAGCAAAAAGGAAACGAATCGAAAGCAAAATTACAGGAATCTAATGTTGTAATCTGATACGATATACATTTACATATAAGAAATGAATTAAATGTAATTTTGAAAATAATAAACATAAATATATTTTTTGAAATAATAATACTATCATTTAGATATCTATTTTTCTTTTTCTTTTTTCTTTTTTCACTTTTCTTTTTTCTTTTGTTTTTTATTTCCTTTTTTTCTAATTACAAGAAGGAATAATTAAGTATATAATTTAGTTAAGATCACTGTAAAACAGATTAAATTTTTTTTATTTAAATGATGATTATCATTATGAGATAACAATGTAAAGTTTATTGTAAAAGATGAACTTAAAATGACCATTTAATTTTATTAAGTCAATTGAAGCTAAACAACTATAGAAAATCTGAAAGGATTGGATAATTATTTCATTCTAGTGTAGGACTCCTTCAACAGTACACATTGACGATAAATCCAAAAAAAATGTTTAAGGAATCTATGAAGTTTATTGATTTTTCTAGAGTTGTTATTAGTTTATTTTTTTAATATTATCATGTAATATCAATAATCAGAATGAGAATTTATTCACATTAAAGATTTCGTTCTTAATCTTTCTGATGGAATATATCCTATCTTGGCCTATTATTATTTCTCTAAAGATTGGATGAAGGGGAAACTATATATATAAACTACTATGATGTTTCTTCTTGAGTTTCTATGTATTTAGATTTGTGATAGATTGTTAACATTTAATAAACGTATACAAATACATAGACAAGAGAATTTATTGGAATAAAGTTGATAATCAATAAGAAAATCTTGTCTAAATTTGAACGAATAGTTTCACAGTATTTCGGCGCCGAGTTAATGTGAGATATGAAAGAGGAAGAATGTATTTGTAAAATCTCTGCGAAAAAATTTTTCTTAAAAAAGCTTGAACCAGATTGCCAGACAAAACGCTGGATTTACTTCAAATTCTTTCGCTGAGATTTTACAAATACATTCTTCCTCTATAAAGTTGATAATCTTTGTAACTTTGAATTTTTAACACGTTGCTAAATCCACCAGTCAATAGTTCTTCTATGAAAATTGACAAAGCATTTGGAAGTCAGTCAATAATGAGCATATATTACTCAAGTCATTTAAAACGTGAATCAATTTCTGCAAACGTTTTAATCAAAGTACATAATTGTTTATTATAAAAATGAAGTACCGAACTTCCATTAAGAAGATCTAATAACTGAGTGATACATAACTTATCCTATTACCAATATTATCAATCGCTTACTTCATAGATTGTTATTCTATAGGTGTTAGATCAGTTTTCTTTTGATAACCCCGTTTGTGTTTAGTTTTTTAGTTTTCGTAAGTTTCTATCTTTGTTTATTTTTTCATTCACTATGGTTGATAACTTCGATCGTTGTAATAATTGATTGAGTTCTTCAGTAAATATTAACTGATTGGATTGAATAATAGTTGGTTTATATACCATACTTCTAGTAACCATCTGATATATTTGAAGTTTCCCGAGATTCGGACTTTTTTAAACCGACTCCTTGTCGATTCATACTTACATACATTATTATTAGTACAGTAATGTTGTCCTACTGTTAGTTTATATTCATGTATATATAAATGAAGCGGGTATTCATTTAATTCATTGTAATATTTATCACAGCATATATTACTGATAGAATCAGATCAGAGATCACAGCATTAACTTATCTTCATCTTTTTTTTACACTTTTCTTGATAAGTTTAAGTAAATTAATTTCATTTCAACTAAAATCTTTTCAGGTAACAACTAAAAACACAAACATTGTAATCTTTAAAATCTATTCTAACTAATTATCTTTAAGATGAATTCACTTCATAGTTATAACAGTAATTCACTATCTTAACCCCCCCCCCCTTCATTTTACATAATAATGTATATTGACTAAGGTAATGACATTTTATATTACTTTAGATTACAATACAAAAATAATTTCCCATCATTAACTTACATTTTGTGAAAAAAGAAACATTATTATTTTCCACCACCTCCATCTCCACCCCTCCCATGTTGGTTTTAAAAAAATACACAACCCAGATAAATGTCATAAAATTCAATAAAATGTATGGGAAATGACATTTTAAGAAAAAAAAAGAGAAGAAATTAGTGAAAAGATTTACCTTTTCTTACGTTGGTGAAAAATTGTATATTGAATGAATTTATATGTGAATGTAAATACATGAATAACCTTGAAAAGATTTATTGAATCAATAATTAGTGATAAAAAACTTAATCTTTATACTGGAAATATTCTTTTTTGTTTTTTGTTTAGCTTAAATGCTTTATCATTCATTAGAATAAGGGATTTTAAATAAATATCCTAGTAACTAACCAACACAGATCAACACACATTTAACGATTACTGTTTGCTTTCTTTTGTTCTTACAAAAAATCATACATTTAGTTTTGTTTAGTCTAATTTATATTAATACAAATGAAAAGAATGTCTTCTAATATTCCAATTGGTGATATTGACATCTTCATGTTAGAATTTAGTTTAATTTAATTATATTACTTATTCATTTGTAAGTAGTACAAAATGTATGTGTAAGATATTTCTCTAAGTTCGTAATGATTGTGAGACTAAAATTTATGGACGATCTTTGAGCGACGCCAAATTGACCTTGAGAGTGTCTACCTACTAACTAGGGCTAGATAAGGGTTATAAAGCAGTTTGGGGAATAAGAGTTATTATTCAGGCATTAGATTTTGGGTTTTCATCACGAACTGACATCAGCTATAATGCCCAGAATCTATTTAGATAAATGTGTGAATGAATTTCTCATCGAAATCTCAGACTTGTTATCATAAATCTGATTGGTCCGTCCAAAAACTGAAATCTTACCGTAATGATTACTGAGAAAACTCGATTGAATATAATGTCATTTAGCAGCATAGATTTCAATAGATCTATAGTTAGTCCATTCACTGAAGACTGAACTATGATACTTTTTTTAGTTTCCATGAAGGATAAATTCAAATAATTGATTTAATATAACAAGATAAATCATACTGTGGTCACGTTTACACATTCTAGATTTAGTAGACTAAACCGAGTTTAGAGAAGATAAACAGTTACAAGTAACCATGTTAATTATATTGTACCTGTTCTCTTTGTACTCAAATAAAAGATTGTGTTTAGTATGAAGGTGGAGTATTTTTCGTCAAGAGATCAAGGAGTGAATGAAATATGTTTTTCAAACTAAATATTTTAACGTAGGTTCTGTTTGAAGTTAAATATTTAAGTTATGATGAATAGAACTTTCGTTTTTGAATTATTGAAGATGAGTACATGAGTAACATGGCAAAAATGGAGTTATCAACTAACTACCCAATCAACAAAAAATATATTTAGATAATAGATCAATTGATCTTCATCATATTTTTATATTTCTGGTTAACTCCATTAATTTACTTCACAAGAGTAATGAATTTCATATTGTTTATCAGTGAAAACGAGTTCCTTGGTGATTATTTCCTAAATGTTATGTATACGTCTGTTCTGATTATCATCATAAGCAAGTTAGGAGTAAAATGAACTAGAATAATTTGATGATTCATTTCTGTATTGTTTGTCTGAATCTCCTCATTGATATTTAGAACACTAATTGATCAGTCAATTGTTGGAATACGTGCATCTTGCGCGTATTGCTTCAGTATTGATTTAATTCACAAGCGTTATAAGCAAAGATAGATAGTGGCTATCAGTGGAATACAGAACGAGTGTTTCGTCTTATTTGGGACTCGTCAGCTAGATCTACCTGAATCTCAGAGGTAATGATTGAATGCCATCGAGATGGCTATCCGAACTCAGTAGCTAAATGGATAACACGATAGTGTTTGAAACGAATGGTACTGGGTTGGAGTACCGGAGTGAAAATTAATTCTGAGATGAAGATATATCCAACTGACGAGTCTCAAATAGGACGAAACGCGCATCCTGGATTCCGCTACTGGTCACCATCCATCTTTAAATTGTTTAATTGACACTAAAATACTTGTTAATCATTTTATAATCACACATAGTGTATTATACTCTTATAATTGTCTATTTAGTAAATTCACTTCCAACATTATAATAATGTTTTGTTATAATTCTTTGTTTCTATAGATGTACAGTTTCAAATAAATTTACAACCTGGACAAGCATGGAAATTAGATCAACAGTATGTATTAATGAAAATGGAAAAATTACCATCAAAAATCCAACAATTACCATTAGAAGTGGCCTTAGATATTAGATCGACAAATGGAACATATGTAAGTTAGAAACAAATAATATAGAACGAAATAATCGTAATTATGATTAATTCTACAGTAATGGGCGAAAACACATGTAGTAGGGGGACAACCAATATGTTTGAATGTAAAATTACCGAGTTATGTGATAAAATGTGAACAACGTATGATCAATACTTCATTTGCAAAATGTCCATCAATCGTCTCAAACTTCATCGTTCTTTCATTGACATAACAATTACTCTCTGTTCCCGTTCTCTTCGATTCGATCTTACAAACTTTAAGCTGCCAGGCATTTTATTTCTGATTGGTGTTATTTACTACTTATGTCGACATCAGTAGCATGCAACACACTACTACTGATCAAATTTTAGTTTTGAAAATAAAGTGTTCTTTTTTGTTATTTGAAGCCTGAATGTATTTACTAACATCTGATAGATAGTATATTCCTTTAAAGAATGCTGTCATTCAACATGAATTTGTATAATTGTTCGAGTGTAAAGTGTGTAATGGAAGCATCAGATTTAGGTGCAATTTAATTCACTGAGCTGGATGATTTGGTAGTGAAGCTTTGATTTTTCTCAACAACATCATCACCATAAAAGTCTACTTGAAGTTTGTGCTCAGCGAACAAAACTCCTAAGCTACAAAAGCATAAGAAAATAATCATGACTGAACTTTAACATCTTTTCTTTTAATCATTGTATACTTGTTGAATTATAAATCGTAATGGTTTACAAAATGATAGATCCTTCATTAAATCATCATGTTTAAGTACTTTGTTTTCTGTTTTCGTCATTTTCAAAGATAAATTACTTATAACATTTTGAAGAACATCATTTCTTCCATTTAGAAAAAGAAGACCAAATCATTATGAATCCACTAATTAAATAATTTGATTGAAGTGTTTTACAAATTGATAATAACATGTCGGTAATATTCATTAAAGATGAAACCTAGTTGAGTTAACATTGAAAACTAGGAAACATCGGAAAGTATTTTTTGTCTTTGTATAAAAACTCAGAAGAATATACTCATGATCCAAGCCAAGAATAGATTTCCAGGAGTTCACTAGCTGTCATAAGTAGCTTTGAATAAACGTCACAGTTTTATTGAGAATTAATTGGATTTCGCATTTTACTATTGGTTACTAATCAATTGGTTGTGAGGGATAAAGGTTTATCGTAATGCCTAAAATTACTAGATCTCATCTTTGATAGAGTTGTAGGTAAGCATTGTTGAGAAAACCTATAATAAGATGAAACGAATTTATAGTGCTGACTATCTTTCAATGCATATCACTACACTTATCATTCCTTGATAAATACAATGCATTAATAGGTCGTCTAATTGTTGAAAAATATATTGTAATCAAAGAGGTGTTTGATGGAAATAGTAGTAATTTAATGATTGAATTCATGAATCAATTGAAGCTAGACTACCATGGAAAATATAGAAGCACTGGGCAGCCATTACATCCTAGTATGGGGCTCCTCAGCAGTACGCATCGACGATCCCACCCTGCGAGATTCGAATCCAAAACCTATCAGTCTCGCGTGTGAACGCTTAACCTTTATTAATTAATCAACATTATGAAATCTGAATTAAGTTCATGTTTATTTCAGACAGATCCCATACGAATTTCAACAGTGATTGTCTAATTGATCTGGCAGTAATTGTATATTAAATTTTTTAATATCATAAGTTACTATCATATTTTGTATAGTTTCTTTCATCTTTACCAATATCCTTATTTGTTTTTTTTTAAATCAATGTATTTCAAATAAAGATCATGTTACACATTGATCATGTACAAGTTCCTCAATCAGCAGCATGGAGTTGTCAACCAGAATCAACTTTTACAAAATTGACAAGAGTTAAATGCCTTACTGGTGAACCTATTGTATTTGGTTTGGAAAAAAAAATTCATGGAAATGATAGTAAGTTATAAACAATTGATTCATAACAGATAATTACTTTTTGATTGAGATCATGAACCGATTGATGTCAGACCATCGTTGGAAACCTGGAAGCACTGGACGACCGTTTCGTCCTATTGTGGGACTCCTCAACAGTGCACATCCACGGTCAAACTAGGGGATCCGAACCCAGGGCCTTCAGTCTCGCACGCGAACGCTCATTGAGTAGATACCGACATATTCATTATTATTCATTTATAAACATTAGGAAACTATTTTTAGTGGATTCGTAACTTAGATGAGTCTTTCTGATGGATCCCAATTATCATGAAATTTAGATCTAATGTTTTGGGCCAAATACATGAAAGCATCTTAAAATATTAACTACTTTACTAAATATTATTTTAATCATAACATAAAGTCATTTCGAGATATTATTGAGATAGATATATGGTAGTACAATGTGGTAGTTTTGAATTCGCCCAAAGGCGCATAATTAGTATCGTACACTATGTCTATTTCAAGATGTTAAAGACTGGAAAATGTTTATTGTGAATATTGCCTTCAGAATATACAAAAATGTTTGCAAAGCTATCATTTAAATTTTGAACAAACTGAACAAATAAATATGTGTCAATTGAAGCTACACCACCATGAAAAACATGGAAGCACTGGACTCATGATCTCAACTGTTCTAATTCCTACAATCTCCACAAAACCCCTTCTGATAAACAAGTATGCGAAGGAATATTATATTTAACTCAATGTTATTGTTATTTAAAACAATTAGTACCTTTGATAAATTTCCATAGTGCAATGAGAAGACGAAGTTTATCCAAATTATGTGATATATTTACGCAATACATTTCGAACAAACTGATCACATTATACTTCTTAAAACACTTTTATATATGAAAATTAAAAGATCAACTAGACAGGTTAAAGGTAAGCCATTACAGAGAAAAAATAAATAAATAAAGTACACAAAGACGAATGTGATAGCCACTCTGTATAATAAATCAGTATTACCAGGGTGGGTTAAGTGTAAAAACAAATTATAAGCAAAGATGGATAGTGGTTAACAGTGGAATCCAGGACGGACGTTTCGTTCTATTTGGGACTCGTCAGCGGGATGTACCTGCATCTCAGAGTTGATGTTCACTCTGAGACTCGAACCCACTATATCCAGCATTGCTTATAATGCTTGTAAATTAAGGCAATATCGACGCAATACGCACATATGCCAATAAGAAACTAATCAGGTTCGGTCCTAAACATCAATGGGAAGATTCAAGTAAAATAGTATCAAGTGAATTAAAAACAAATTGTTTTTAAACACATAAAAGGGGTTTCAAGTTCCGTATAGCCAAGGCTTTAATAAACCTTAGTATACGTCCTTTAAGGCTGATTTGATGTCAATCTTATGACCGGTTTCAATCACATGTTTCGCAGTGGCGAATGATGTTTGTCTGTCCTGTGATCTTATTTGACCATTGGGATCCATTTGTTTTTGCAACCATTTTCGTATGTGTTCACCCACCGTTAGTTGCAAATCACGATTGCTCCTCCCTATGTACGTGTTCCGCACATACATGTAAATTGATAGACACAATGGGATGTGACACAGTCGCTTTCGTGCTGTTTGGGCTTTGAGTAAAATATAGACCTCGGCTTTTTGGTAATGACAAGTTGGGCTGCATGTTGAAACGGAAACTTAAATGAGCTATCAACCAGACATTTCATGCAGCTCATAAGTAGAATTAACAAAAAGTGATTTAAAAACGAGATTGAATTATAGAATGCAATTTCATAAAATACTGTTATATAAATGAGAAAAAATTAGTAGATTGCCGAAAAGAAATCTCTTTATTGAGCTACTCTTACATTTTATGGTATAATGGGTATTTTCCATTCAAAATGAACTCGACAATCTCATTATTGAAGATGATGTTTGCATTTGTTACAACATAAATACTTCGAAATTGTGTAATTTGGAAATTAGGGAAGTCAGAAGGATCTAGTCGTGCACCAATGTAAAAATAGAGGCTGAATATACCTCTTGTAGATACATAAGTTCAGTTTTCTGGAGTTGATCAAGATGACTTCAACTATGTAGAGTAGCTGCTCCTTTAGGTATATCTAAAACAGAGAAAGCTTGATATCTTTTAATACAATGTTCATTGTCTAACAAGTGAGAAAACATTGCGCTGTTAATATATTTCGTGACTTTTTTCCCAACCATGCTGATACATGTTCACGAATACGTGTGATAAAGCCCTCTGAGTATGACTCATATAACTAGCTCCACAGAAGCAGTTGAACTGGTATTCACACATGGAGAAACCCAACATCGGTAACCCATACTTGATCTGTTGTGAAGGCACTGATTTGGTTGAGATAATAACATATAACTTTGTGGTGTGAAACTTCCTTTGAACAGATCTTTTGAGTCGATATATTAAAATGTCTAATTTTCAATTTACATATAACAAAATTTTGAAAAGTTTGTGTTTTAACAGATGCAAACATTTACCATTTCTAACATATAACATTGTCATATCCACTGATGCATGTCTTATTTTGAGCTTTGTAAAATATCACAATAATTATGAACTTATAACTGTAGAGCCTGTAAGCAAAGATGAATAGTGGCTAGTAGTGGAATCCAAGATTCGCGTTTCGTTCTATTTGGGATTCGTCAGCTGGATGCATCTGTATCTGTGTTGATGTTCACTCTGGGACTCGAACAGAGCAATTAAGGCAATATCGAGGTAATACGCACAATATGCACATATGTCAATAGATAGTGATCAATTTCAGTCCTAAACATCAATGGAAAGATTCAAGTAAATAATACCAAGTGAATGTAGAGCCTGATAATGAAATTATTGGAAAAAATTGTTCACTCAAATATTCTTTGTTTTTGTTTATTCTATAGGGTGTTTTCTATTCGTCTGAAAATAAAATTTATCTTGTAAATTCGACATTACTTGAGGTAATTAGTGTGGTGTGGGTTACTGATATCCATATAGGCAGTATATAACGGTGTTCAGTCATAAAATGTATTTCAGTAGAAGATCGAGAAGGAAAGAACGGAAACAGAACGTAGCTGGTATGAAAATGCATGAACAATGAAATCTGAGACAATGGACTGATATTTGCAAAGGAACAGTCAAGTTTGAGACGATGGATTGATATTATATGGTTCTCGGATTTTATTGAGATGCTGTGTAATTTCGTGTCAGATGCATTCTTGTTCGTTACAATCGGAAAATAATCACAAATGAATAATTATACTGTAGTGAAAAAGATCACAAGTAGGAACAATCGATTATACCTGGGAACAAAATTACAGAACGTCTTATTAAAATCTGAGAACCATACAGTAAATACTTCATTTACAAAATGTTATTCAATCGTCTCACACTCGATTATTCCTTCGTTTCCACATTAATCATTCTCTATTCTCGTTCTCTTCTCTTTGATCTTCTTAACCTTCTGCCACTAGGCATTTCACGTCACAATACTACCAAATGTACATAATAGGAACTAACGAATTTAAATTTTATTACACACTTATTGCTTTGTTTTTGCCTAATCCCATCTTAATTTAATATTAGAAGACAAATAACCCTTAGTTATTTATGGGTTATCAAATATACAGTTTAACTATGAATTACACTGATCGTTAACATGTAGTATAAATTGTATTTTATATCAATGTAATGTACAGCTTGTTGCATAAAACATTTGATCAGAATAGATCAACATAAAAAGTGATAATAATATTGAACAATAATGAGAGGAAAACCATGTGTATCTGGTGTTTTTTGAGTAATGCCATATATATATATATATATTTCCCTAGAAGGTATTTTTGTCAAGATCCGATTAAACACAATAGAAGGTTAAGCATTCGCGCGCGAGACTGAAAGGCCCTGGGTTCGAACCTCGTGGGGGGCGGGATCATGGATGCGCACCGCTGAGGAGTCTCACACTAGGATGAAATGACCGTCCAATGCTTTCAGGTTTTCCATGCTAGTTTAGCTTCAATTGACTCATAAATTCAATTATTAAATTACAATAGAAAAGTTTACCTTCAAGAAATGATCCCAACTGTAAATCACCAAGGTATTGGCCAGTTGTTTCGTTGTAACTTAGTTCGTTACGTAAGGATTGCTTAACATCAAACTGATATATTGTTGAACCAAAAAATGTCTCATATAGTTTTAAGATTATACTCTTTTGATCGATTGCTTAACTTCATTATGACGAAGTGATGATTGGTTCCAAATTCGAATTATTGATCCAAGGATCATAATAAACTGGTGTCAAATGTAACATAATAACTTTTCAAAGAATCATCATTCTTTATTTATAATAAAATGAAATGTTTATGTAACATACTACTTAGCACAAAATTAAGATTTATTTAATAAGTCAATGGGTTATATTACAATACATTAGTTCGAATAATCAAGAAGAGTTTCATCCCTGTGTTGACTAATTCGGAAACACCCTTTATAAATATATAGCCTGTGGAAAGTATATAATACTACTTCAATGTATAAATAAATTGTGCGTAATTAATCAGTAGATCAAAAAAACAATTATATACATATAAAAAATGACATGGTACTCATCGATCGGTGATAATTACGTGTGGATATGTTTCATCTAAACTAGAATGAATCAGAGTGGTTAGAGTTAAGAGAGGTCTGTCCAGATTTTCGTATTTTGTAATCTATATCATAGTATGATCTTATTTAGAGAATCATCGAAAATCCATTTATTCCTGCCAACTGTGATTAACTCCTATCCATCTAGCATAGTTCCTGATTACTGCCAAATGACTACTGTCAAACATATAAACAAATAAATAATCACTTGCTGGTCTAAAGGTTAGATACTAGCCGTAAAATATATAGATCCTGAATTCAATCCCTTAACGGGGTCACAAATATACACTTCTAAATAGCTCTATGCAATGACGGAATAGTTATTCGGCGTCTTTTTGTTTTCATTGAATGTTTAACTAAGATTGCTTAGTGATTTATTCCATTAATTCAGCAATCTCCACAAACCACGTACAGTAATTAATCATGCAATGTAACCATTTAAAAAACCAATTTAGACTGGTAAATGTAAGAGAGATAAAGATGGACAAATGTCATTACATAGTAAATCCATTTAAATTATAATGACCAAAGTAGATAAGTAACAAAGGAAATTATATCTTTACGTAGTTTATTATCTAATATTATAACAGTTGAATTCACGAGCCAGTCTAAGCTAGACCACTATTAAAAACTTGGATGCACGGATAGGTGTTTCGTCCTAGTATGGAACTCCTTACCAGTGTGAACCAATGATCTCGCACTTGGGACTCGAACCCAGGATTACCAACCTCGAGAGCGAACGCTTAACCTTCAGATCACTGAACCAACACTCAGTGGTGTTTAAAATTACATTCAATCCATTCATCATCTAATATTCAATTTATTACTAATTTCTAATTATCTTTAACTAAAATGAATTATCTTTTCTTTTATGAATCTATTTAGTTACAGACTCAGGTTTAAACAAATTATCATTACAAGATCCTTCATCAATTATTGATGGACAACATACATTTTTTGAAGTATATCCAGGTAAAACTATTTCACAATTTGTTCCACCATGTCCTAAAATTATCAGATTCTGTGATAAAACTGTAGGTATTTTAAAATTACCAAAAAATCATGGTTCTGATAGAGATTTTTATATACGTTATCCACGTCTTATTATACGTATGGTTATTGCATCACCAAATTTAAAACCGGATTTATTGGAAACAATTAAAACACGTCGTGATTTAACATACACTAATATTAATAATAATGATTATTATTATCATAAAAATTCCAGTAATAATAGTTCATTAGAAGAAAACAATATGAAATATTCATCGATTACCTTACATCATCATAATCATCATAATTATCGTCGTCGTCATCTTCGTCAAACAGGAAATATAATGGATAAAATTGATGAAAAATTACAAGAATATATGCCTAAATTTGTATTTGTATTAACAAGTTTAAAACAAAAATCAGTTAATGGTTAGTTGAATTAATTTTAAATGAAAATAATTCATGTTCAATGATCAATATTATTTATTGATTTATTGATTTTATTTGATTATTGAATATAATTTTAAAGATTCTTTTTTCACACAGTATATTCAATGATAAATAGGAAACATAGATTTATATGGTATTATAAACAGGATACAGTATATAACAGTTTAACCTTAGTTTATTTAACTTTGATTATAGATGATCTTCGAGTAGTTGATCATGAATGTCTAGTAGTTGCTACGAACATACTATGGGAACTTAATCATCGGTAATGAAGTAGTAAGAGTCAGTTGTTAAGGTAGTTATGGACTATCAATTGATAAGCTTAAATATATTTATTGACTTGGTTAATGTAGACATGTACAATGTAGGATCCATATACACTAAGGATTCGAACCCATGACCTTCGGTTTTACGCGTGAAGGTGCTTTCTGGTTTTCCATGGTGGTGTAGCATTAATGAACTCATGAATTCGACTATCAGAGTATATTATATTTGAAGTGATTTTTTATTGATGAGTAGTGTAACGATGAACAGTGTCAATAATGTATTATATAAAATAAAGGAATTAACACTAACGTGAAGAATAACACGCTTCAAGTTAAGACAACTAAGAGCAGAGCAGATAGTGCAGGAAATAATACATTTTTTATTCATACTATTTCTTCCAAAATATACGTGAAGTGAGTGTTATAACGCTTGGTTTTCCGTCTACACGAATGAGATGCTATTTTGCTTTTGATGAATATCTATACTTGATACTCCCTCCCCTGTGTCTATTCTACAGGACTTCAACACAACTCAGATCAAGTACATTTGACTAGCCTGACTAGAACATAAGTGTATTTCCACATCAACAACAATAATAATAAGGGTAGGAGAATATATAACGCATCTAATTCCTGTCAACCTATCTACTAGTCTAACTAAGCAAATAACCAATGATTATCTCCCTCGTTCACAAATCACTGAAATAATAGTGACCTTATTTCTTATAGTATTTGGTGTATGACAGTCACGTTCATGGATATTTTTTCTAAAATTAATTTATCAGTAAACATTCAAGCAAATGACTCTACAAACTTTCAAGATTTTCATCGAGACAATATGTTTACTGTTATTTCGTTATTATATCATCCTGAAAGTTTTCCTGGTACTCTCTGAAACACTTGATCCATTTAGAAAGAGGTTATTAATTCAATACAAATTCTTTATAATCAACTTTCAAGATTTTATAAACTGGAAAATTTTCTTAAATCACATCAAAGATTTGATGTTGAGTTGTCAGGTATTTAGTTGACAAACCATATACATATTATGTTCATTTGTATAGAAATTTCATATTTTTAATCATGGATTTCAATTTATCTATGAGTTTCATGTTAACATCTGATCGCTTATTAGAAGATCCAATTAAAAAGATCGACATTTCTTTTATTACAGTTTTATGAATTCAAAAACTCAGTGAAAAGAATAAAATGTACAACATGTATACCTCGTAATGTACTTTATCACAAATCAATATTTCAAACATGATGAAACTTATTTCATATCCTCTTACCATTTTAAGCTTCTCACTTGCAGATTTACTCAACTTTCTTGATGCTGCTTATCAATAAAATTCGAAATCTACCATTACAAATAGTGTTGTAATTTACATTTATTCATGATGAAATACTTCCATGCAAGTTTTTGTCCTCTAGATAATAGAACAGATTGAAATTAGTGTGAGTTCGTGATCTTGTCTGTCAGCAGGTACATCCAGCTGACGAGTCCCAAATAGAATGAAACGCGCGTCCTGGATTCCACTGCTTACCACTATCCATCTTTGCTTATAATGCTTGTAAATTAAGGTAAAGTCAAGGCAATACGCACAGTATGCACATATGTCAATAGATAGTGATCAATTTCAGTCCTAAACATCAATGGGAAGATTCAAGTAAAACAATACCAAATGATTTAATTATTGTTCAAATTCATCGAATCTGTTTTATACAGATTACATAATGGTTTATGAAATCAGCCGATATTTATGTAATTTCATTGGTACATTGTAAGGCATGTCTTCATTGCTAACATTATTGAGTTTGACTGTCGTGTAAGCGGAACGGGTCAACTTTGGCCTATTCGTGCTGTGCATAATTGAATAACTATACATGTGATGTGAATGTGTATATGAATGTTGCGAATGGTCCACTAGGGTGCTTGGTACCTGTGTAGTTGCTCCACAGGATTGAGCTGTACTATTCAGATTGTAGCGTTAAAGCTTATAGGGTGTCTGGTTCTCCTATGAAGCGGGATCAAGCTGTACTGTTTGATTTGTCACGTGAAAGTCTGGATGGTGTCTGGTTCTCCTGAAAACAAATGTAGAATTATCCTGGCCCACAAGGGTATATTATATAACTAACTAAAGTATGTAATTTCTAAGTGATTATGTGTAAGTTACATTAAACACGTTCATTTATGTCAATGGAACGCGTTTGTACAATGTAACATGACTTCTTATCGTTATACTCTGTTTGCTGTTCAATTTATTTATATAGGTAAACCATGTGTCAAGGACTGGGAAGCATGTGATTCGGAAGTTTGTATACCAAAACATTTATGGTGTGACGACGTAATTAATTGTCCACAGTGGCAAGATGAAGGAGGTCACTGTACACGTTCAAGTAAGCTACATTTATTTACTTATCTGTATACATCAGACAACCATGTTATTTTGAGTTTTATTAAGTTAAATCTAGACAGTAAAGATCTCCTGATCATCCAGTTTATGTTGTATGTAAAACTGGTAAAATCACTTCAGTTTCATTAACTTTTGGATGAAAAAGTTTTTTAAGTACAATGTGAAGATGCCACAAGTATTTGAAGTTTGATAACACCTTGACCAGTAATACCTTCTACAATCGAAACGTACCAACCCAGTGAAATCAGAAGTCAGAAACTAAAAGGTTATATGATGTATTGGATAAGCTGTCAATATATCAAGAAGTTATTATTATAATCTGTCTAGCGGTTGTAAGAAAAATTAAGCATAGTGTAACCATTTGTGATCTGGTGTAAATGTATGAACGAGTGCTTTCAGGTAGGTGGGTCCATGAAATTTAATATGGTCGGCATCAAATGTAGAAGACTTACAGAGTTGTTGGATTTCGAGATTTATTTACTACACACATTTTCATATTTTAGACAATAATTTTCACCTGTTCTCATTGTTAACAGGTGGACAGTGATCGACAATGGATGAAACATTATTGACTGTATAACTGTATCCATTCTTAAATACAACTAGATCTTAAGTTGATCCCATTATTTTTGAGTTAGTTGATTAGATTCAAAGTCTTGCTATTTTCCAAGCCTAAACATGTATAATTCATCAGTCATCATCATCATCATCATCATCATCTACATGAATATCAAATAGCAGTCAAACTGAACAACTTGTCTGAATTCAAATAGATAATTCCGGACTTATGTTCGACTAAAAAGATGATTTAATGTTAAAAAAAAGAAATATAAAGTAGACTCGAGATTTTCTAGATAATTATGATCCGATTCTCTCAACAGCCAGTAAACATATCGAATTGTAGTCAATTCATATTGAACGTTTATGAATTCTTAAAAAATGTCAAAAAGCATAGTGTTGAAAATAAATATTCAAACAGTGACAGAAAAATAGTTAGGTAAAATGTAATTTATGGACGAGCCATTCAAATGCAAGTGAGCAATCGCAAAGTCTCATCGCCTATTTCAACACTCAATGCTCACATACGATTTCAAGGAGGACGTTGTAGTTAGAGGCCTTAACAAATGAAATTTCTAAGAAGTTACCTATATTTGATTGCGGTGTTCAAATGACTGCTGGATATTGTGTAGAATATTGTGGTGATATTGTATTTCGATGTATTATATGTTGGTGGAAAAAGTCTGATAGGACGGGGAGTTTTTTCTCTCATTCGCGGTCATGATAATTGTTGTAAACTGGGTAATAAAAGCACCAGCAACAGTGGCTGCAACCTTTGCAGATGTGACTGAAGCTTTGACAGTTTAATGGCATTAGTATTGTTGAGATATATGTGCAATGAGAACGACAAGCTTTCATCCAAAGTTTGGAGGAATCGGGAGAATTGTAAAAATCGACGACACAGTCGTTAGGAAACGCTAATTCAATGGAGGCAGAAGTTTTAAATAAGACTGAGCAAGTAGCACTTCGATAAGTATACTTAGAAGGTTCTTGGTATATATGATAGGTCATCCCAAAAGAGACACAGTGCGTGAGGAACCAACAAGCTATAACGATAATACGAATCATACGAGAGTATGTGCATCCGTACACCACAATGTACACGGATGACTGGAGAGCATATCGATGCCTATCTGGACTTGGATACGTGCATCGTATCATCGTTCACAAGTGACATTTTGTAGATCAGATCACAGGAGTATACACCAATAAAAGAGAAGCAATGTGGTCGAGGCTAAAAGAATTTTTTCAACCTTATCATGGCTCCAGAGGTCGACTATCATGGAGTCACATGAATGAGTTGCTGTGCCGCATACATTATGACTTAAGAACTGCAGAGACTCTTTCTAACATCGAAAACTTTTTAAACCTTGTTAAAGAAGTGCATCCACTCTAATATTATGGTTTCATATCACATATTCTCACTCTATACTAGTAGTCATCTGATTGGTTGAAATTTATCAAGGTCAATTAAGATTCGTTCAAACGTCGCATATAAATTATAGTCTCGCCAAAGAGTTAACTTGAACTAGTCAGATTCAAAGACTATAGAATAAGCTGCTAATCTGTTGTAAAAAAGTGTTTGTAATTCACTTCTATGAGAAGCGTATGTTAATGCTGTTTTATAAAAAGATAATAAACGATCACAATTAAGCCAATCATTTCAAGAAAAACACAATTTCATAGAAAACATATTCCGTTTTAGTGGCCCTAAATCTGACTCCAGGTTGATCGTATTAATGATTGTTATCGAAATATACATGTCTCCAATCTTCGTGTATAATCATCAACTTAAATTGCTTTGGTAAATAATGGAATTAAATGAGTCAAATACGAGAATGGATTTTTGAATACGTATATATTGTATACTCGTTGATCTGGACAGACGATCAGAGGAACGAAGCAAAGAGAAAAGAGCGAAGAGAAATGACGTGCAGTGGAGAAGGTGTGTTAATCTAAATTTATAGCCGAACAAAAAATAAGTTACAGACATGTGATGAGTGGGATATACATAAAAAACAGTCAAAATTGATAAGTAAATAACTAACGTGGTCAAAATGTGACTCAAGAATAATGAATAGATTGGCCTGTCTGGAAGCTAGAATAGGCTGTGTGGGCTCAACATAGTACCAAGCACTACACCTTCACTGTTTATTTATTTAAAACTTACACCTATATCAAAGCAGTTCCTGTCTTTAATTGAACCAATATAATCGAATGAACTGTTAAAAACACCTCAATACTGGGAACCTTTGACCATACTGAGTGGGAACTAAAAACGAGAACCATTGTTCTATTTTGCTGTGATCTCTGAGCTGGATGGTTTGTTTGTGAAACTTTCAGTGTTTATCTGAACAACACCCTCAACATGAACTTCATTCTGAATTAAGTGCTAATGATGTTGTTCAGTAGCAACACAATGAAAGGTTCACATCCAAACCATCCAGCTAAGAGATCACAACAGCCCCAACATCCTCATCTTGGACTACAAATATATTTTCTATCATATTGGAAAGGGAAGCATTCTTGAAAAAAAAGCATATTTGCACCAATATGATTCTAATTCTTCAACGAAACCTTTCTTTTATTGACTTTATATTCAGGCTTGCATCCAAATGTATTAGGTCCTGACGGTCAACTAATACAAGATACTAGTAAAAGTGTATTTGAATTAAGAAAGGAGCAAGAGCAACTTGAAGCGGAAGCAGAACGTTTGGCTGCTCAAAAATTACATTTGTCTATATTGGCCACTTTAGGCTTAATATTGTTGATTGTCACTTCCACATGTATATGTAAGTCGTATTGTTATTATTATTTCTGATGGCGATTGATTCATGTTCAAAGAAAAAGTACTTTTATAATTTAGTTTTAGGGATTTTGCAAAAATTAGTTTAGTTTGCATATTTATGCGCTTCAGATTGATTAAGCTTTCTGTAGAATGCTTGAAGATACCTAATTTGGTCTCTTGGTAGAATCGTGGGTGGTCATCTCCAGAAAGTCCCGTACTAGAAAGAAAGAGATGTCTAGTGACTCATATTTTTAGTTTTACCCCCAGCTAAGATCAGTTTGCGATAAATATAACGCATAAGTCAAGTCAACCTCCGCAAAACACCTTCAAACATGAGCGACTTCAAGATATTCCAGGAGTTCTAGTCATGAAACGTGACTAACGTAGTCTACACACGCTAGAAATGAAAAAAATTATTTCAATAGTTGAGATTATGAGTTGATTGAAGCTAGACCACCATGGAAAACTTGGAAGCACTAGATGGCCGTTCCTTTATATTGCGAGACCCCTCAGCAGTGCGCATTCACGACCTAGCCTCACGAGATTCCAACCCAGGACCCATCAGTCTCACGTGTGAGCGCTTAAGCACTAGACCACTAAACCGGCCGGCATCCAACGGTGTTAATGTCTAACTTCAACTAATCCACGAAATTGAGTGACGCATTCACCATTGTCATCAATGAGCTACTATCCCACAACAGACCACGGTTGAAAAAAGTTATCACTAAAAGACTTAGATGATCATCTCACTGTATCACCGATTGACAGAGTTTGGAACTGCATCATTAACTACAAACTGAGTAGTTCTATATCCTATGCGTTTGTGATAAGAACTCGAATTTTTGAGTGAGATACATGGTGAGATCGTGATTTAGTACTGCTGAAGAAGACATTTCATAGCATAACAAGTCAACTATCTGATATAAATTTTAAATGATGAACACTATTTTCTATGGAATCTATTGCAAAAGAATAATCTGTTTTATTGAATTTTTATGCGCTTTTTATTAAAGTTATGACTATACGTCGTCGTCGACGTGAAACAGCACGACAAATTATTAAATCTAAAGAAGATGAACAAAATATACAATCAAGTAAATTTGATGATAGACGTCTACAACGTTTAAATCATGTTATGTCTACTAGTGCACTACTAGAAGGTAGTAATCATTTGAAAAAGGATTATATTAATAATAATAATAACTATAAAAAGAAACCAATATTCACTTTATCTAATTCAAGTTTAACACAAGATATTCAATATTCAAATAATGCTACTAATAATACTAATTATAATAATAATAATCAATCAATAATGATGCATGAATTGAAATCTATGAAAAAATCTGGCAGTCGTAATACTACAATGATTTGGAATAGTACTGATAGTATTAATGCACCATTACTATGGCAACGTAATGTTGAGAATATGAAATCATCATCATCACCAGGTCAAATGAATTCAAATAAAAATCTTATTAAATATTCATTGATTAAAACTAAAGGTAACCATAATAATATTAGTGTTAAATTATCAAATAAAAAGATTAATCCTATTAAACAAACTTCAGCTGAGAAAGAAACTATTGAATGTGTTCAATTTCAAAGTTTTAATAATAATGCTACTAATATTAATAAGAGTAGTATTGTTAGTGTAAATAATTCAATGAATGAATCAACTAGTTTACCTAACACAACAATTAATTCAATTAGAACAATGACAAATATTTTACGTGATAAATCAACTCAACCAACATCATTAACACATACTTATGGATCATATCCAATTACATCATTTGAACAAACTGATGTTTATGAACGGAATAAGCATAATTTAAATACATTTGTACAAAAACGAATGATTGAACAACAACAACAACAACAACAACAACAACAACAATTTAAAAGAAGTGGAAATAAAACAGGTAGAAGAATTTGTTTAGTAATCATATACATTTTCTTTTTGTTAAAACTACCAAATAAACTATAATGAAATTCAGAATGAGGATTTGTAGAAATTATAGTGATTTAAACAGTTGAATTCATGAGTTAATCTTAGCTAGAACATTATTGAAAGCTTGAAAGCACTAAACAACCGTTTCGTCATAGTATAGAACTGGTTAGCAACGTCCCAGGACCTTCGGACTTACGCGCGAACGCTTAATCTCTAGACCATCGAGCTGGCATCCAATGGTATTAACGTCTAACTTCAATCGATCCATGATCTTCCACAGCCTTTCAGCGATTATTAGAGGTGGATGACTGACTCACACCCAGCACGGATTGAACTCCATTGGTTACAGCTTCTCACTAGAGCCCTAGGAAATCTATTTTCAGGCTAGTCATTAGTTCATAGCGTCTGGAGTTCGAGTCCCCTTTGTTGCGGGATCGCAACAATGTTTTGCGCCTTTATGGCCCCCTAGTTATTACGTAATCTATTCGCTAATCAAAATACGACTTATTAGTTCTTATACTGTGCTAAATCAATAACGTTCGTCCGGTATGAGCAGTCTAGCGTCTTTATTGATTCTTTGTTTGCCTAACCCGTCCAGTTCTGTTAAGAACACCAACAACAGCTTCCACTATGCGAATCATTTATTTCAAACATACTTGGCTTATATACCAGCCAAGCAGACTGCATCACACCATAAAATAGGAAATAACATTTACACAAGATAAAGCCAAAATGTTGCTCTGAAGGTGGGAGACTGAGTATAACATAAGAATAGTAAATCGTACAATAATAATTTATAGATCAAAATGAAGCTTATAATAAGGAGAATGTAGATATATATAATCTAACTGCTGAATAGTTATACAATAAGAATGTATACAGAATATTAGTCCATAAATATGTCTCACAAGTTACTCATAATTTAATGTTCACTAGGTTCTCTTCTTTCTTTCTTTCTGAATAGAATCACATTCTCTAATGTCTAGTCCACAGAATCGTGGAAATTGGATTGCAACTAATATTTATCCTAAAATAGATAAAGAATTACCTATACTAACTAATACACATCTATCACAAACTGATCATGATTTTAAACAAAGAATATCTAATTTAAACAATACTATAAATCGTACACAATCATGGGGTGCTGGTTTACGTTATAATAATAATGTACATATATATTGTGAACAGGATAATCGATCACCATTAATGTATAAAATACAAAATTTACGTAATTTCAAACCATCACAACTTTCATCTATACCAAAATGTCAATTATATTCTGTTAGTAATAGTCAAGAACATTTACATCGTATAAAAAGATCTGATACGTATGTAAGTATGCCTGATGTTAATGGATTACATAATAATGAATTATTAAATAATCAACTTACAAATTATCATCATACTAAACAAATTATTCCTATAACATCTACAACACTAACCTGTGGAGTTGGATTAATCAATATTGTTACATGTTCGACAACCTGTACAGGACAGTTAATTACATCATCCAAAGATTATCGACCACCACAAGCTAAACGTCCACGTATTATCAATTCGTTAATATCATCCAATGTTATATCGAATAATGATAATAATAATAATAATAACAATAATAATGTAGTTGGTAATGTAAATAAATTATCTAGACATGCAACTCCTATACATAATGAGAATAATTTTAATAATACATTAGCATCACATCTTACTACTACTACTACTACGATTACTATTACTAATACTACTAGTAGTAACAGTAGTGATAAAAGTAGTATTAGTAGTAATCCTTATAGTGGTAGTGAACATTCACATGTACTTTTAAATCCTAACTATCAACATTTACATCATCAGCATCATCATTCACAGTCTCCACATCATCATCATCATCACCATCATCAAATTCTTTATCCATCAGTTGGAATACAGAATGTTTTATTGACTGATGACAAGTTATATAATAGACGAATTTATGGTTTAAACGATTTTCAACAAAATATGTTAATGTATGGATCGAACACTTCAACCGTTGATAATATTCGTACAAATATAGAAAGATATAAATATCACAAAGAGAATAATGATGATGATGAAGAAGGAGATGATGATGAAGAGAACGAAGGATCCAATGAAGAAAGAGGTGATTGTGGGAAAACAAAAAAATCAGGAAGAACTAATCTTATCGTAGCTACTGACCATGTAGATGATAATGACAACGAAGTCGAAACAACTTTATCCAGGACAGATTCGAAAAATAGCTTAGAGTTGTTGAAGGGAGAAGATGAAACAGATATAGAAAACTCAGAAAGATATTCACCAGAAAGTAGGTTTTGTCTAGCGTTTATTATCAAACTGATCACACAGTATTTTCACAATATTCTATAGAACAGTACTGAACTGTCTAGGATCAGATGGATAGTGATTTCTAACTATATAGTCAAAACGTTTTATGCAAAAGTTGTTTCCTACTACACATGATCAACATCAACTGGTTTTTTATTACCACCGTCATGTGGTGTCTGGTTGTTGATATTTAAGGCTGGATTTTATCAATACTTGGTAACATTCCACGTATTTTGGAAATAGACTTTAATGCTATCTAGATTTAGATTAGAATTTTAATAATGGACTCCATCAAAATAAAGAACTCAAGCATTTGATTACAAATATCATACCTCCATCGTGTAAAATACGAACTAGCTTTAGTTTAATAGTCATCAGAAACCAGAAATCACTGGACAGCAACTTCATCCTAGTATAAAGCAAACTTAGTAATACCCATCCACTACCCTCAGGTGGATTGAACCTACGACTTTTGGGCCTTGTGATAACTGCTTAACCTTCATATTTATACATTTGACATCGATCAATTTGTTACTCTGTTCAGCTATCTTCCAAGAACATTGTTTAGTAACTGCCTTACACTCAACATAGGTAAACTCTACTTAATACGACTTCTATGTAGAACTCTGGAGAGAGTCCCGTAACAGGGGGAAACTGTTATTCAGTGCTTTCTAATTTCTAATCATCATTTATCTCAGGTGTAAAATACGATGTAAATTACGGAACAGAACAATCTTCAGAAACCCTTTACACACAAATATTTAATACTTGTTGAAAAGGTAGGTAGGTATGTAGGTAGAGTCACTTAGTTGCCCATTAAGTAATACACTGAGGTTTGAAAAGTAGAGTATTATTTTCACGTAAAATAGTAGGTATTGACATTGGAATACAAACACATCAAACTTGCCGTTTGTTTGAAATCACACTACTAACCACTATTATATATATATATATATATATATATATATATATATATATATATATATATATATATATGAAAGTTCTGTAAAACAAGAAAAGTATCAGTTCTTTTAGTGCTTAGTCAAGGACAATAATCTTCAGTAATTTATTAACGTAACTCGTCCCTTAAAATAGAAATGTGTAACGAAGCTAAATATCCTAGTTGATATTGAATAATCTATTGCTCACTTTATTAAATTTTAGATTCACCAGTCAATAATTCGACTTCCATATCTGAAACGGATACATCACAAAATGCTTGTAGTACACATGAAGAACCAATCAAGATTACTGTTTATCAATCTGAACCTTATAAACATCGAACTATTAGCCATTCTTCATTATCACCGACAAAATCAATTTCCCCACATTCTTCTCCAAAGCATCAACAACAATATCATCATCATCATCGTCATCATCATCATCATCAATATAAACCAAAATATGTAACTGATAGAGACAAAAGTAGTCATTTACAAATTAGATCAGATGATCAAAATATTTCTGAGACATCATCTGATTTAATCTATGAATATGAAGCCTAAATAATAACGAATATAAAAGTGCCTGATACATATACATGCATATATTATTTCGATATACTTTCATAAACTTTTGGAAGCACTTAATAGACATTCTGAGAATAGTGAATTTCTATGCCTTAATGATAGAGTTACTACTATTACGACTATTATTATTATTATTATTATTACTATCATTATTAATCAAGTGAATAATAGTGATTCCCAAATCAAATCTCTATCACATTATATAAATATTTATATTCAATACACCCGATTATATAACCGAGCGTGTTTGTCCCATGGTAACAAGAAAGAAAAGAAGAAAGACATAACATACACACATATGCTTAATCTAATTTAAAAAAAAATAATAAAAAGATATTTGAATTTCATTTCTACCGTATTGTTGATGTAATCAACTCAACTTTGGTAATAAGCATATGAATAATTTTACAACACTACCCCCACCCACCCCCGTTCCCTGTTGGAAAAACAAACAAACAAACAAACAAATCAATTATTATTATTATTTTTATTTTATCTAGGTTTTTGTTTAAAACAAAAATAAATAAAATCTTATTAGTAATAGCACAACGATTTCAAAGTAGGATAGATTAAAATAAATAAAAAATAACATTTCTTTTTCATTACCATTTTTAGAAGATTTCTTGGTATGTCATTGACATTGCTTTCTTTTTGTATTCTTTCCATGATAACCTGTTTACTATTTCTTTTTTTTTTTGGTTGTTTGGTTGGTTGGTCAAACTGTACACTGATTATTGTAATTTAACACATAAAACACCCACCATTAACCTTAACCTCTTTTCTAATCATACATATAATCTTTATAAAATAGATAAATTCAAACTAATACAAATGAGAAATTAGTAAATCAGTATTAAAATGGTGTAATTGTTGTGCGTGTGTGTATGTGTGTATGTGCATGCGTGCGTGCATATATTGTGTAGAGGCAGATTACAAATAAGAAATAAATCCTGGTGAAAATTTCTTTCTTGAAATTAATTATCATATTGTAAAGATAATAGTCATCAACATTAGAAACTAATTATCATTTGACAGATTTATTTTTTATGATCAAAATTGGGTTTGTGGAAATTGTAGTGATTTTCAGATAGTGGAGAAGATTTGTAACTTGCGTGAATGATTTTGATGGAGTTTTGTTCTTTGTGATGGATGTTTTGATTGTAGAGCTTTCATCGTTCTCCTGAACAATATCATCAGCACAAACTTCAGATAGAAGCGAAGCGTTTGAATTTCTCCACATGCGGTCCACAGCTTGTAGACTTTGAAGTTGATTGGTTCTTGTTGACCTTAAATCTGGCATTGTTTATTTCTTTTTTTTGGTTGTATCTCCCATTGGTTTGGTTTTTGTTCCTATGTTTGTACATAATTTTCCCGATTGTTTGATAAATTTTAATAATTAAATTCATAAGCCGATGCAATCTAGACCACTATTGAAAACCTAGAAGCACTGGAATTTTAGTGAGAGGATGTGACCAATGGAGTTCAATTCCTGTCGGGTAGAGACAGGTATCTACCTCACACAATAAATAAATGGTGGAGCAACCATTCATGGGTGAATTAAATTTAGACATTAACATCATTGGATGCTGGCTCAGTGGTCTAGAGGTTAAGTGTTCGCGCGTAAGTCCGAAGATCTTGAGTTTGAGTCCCGCATGCGGGATCATGGATGTGTACTGCTGATTCCCATACTATGATTAAAAGTTTGTCCATCGCTTCTAGGTTTTCAATGGTGGACTAGCTTAGATCAACTCATGAATTCAACTTTTCAAGATCTATTTTTACTTGTTTTGACGAAATTATTAATCGTAGTAGGCTTTTAGTCATGAATCAACTAACTACTGGTAGCAATAATAATAGTAGTATTACTAGTAGCAGTGATAGCATTGACAGCAAGATATGAATCATAAAAACAGTCAGTTAGAAGTGAGATGATGAGATAAACCGCTTGTTTTTTGTTTCAGACGTGAAATGTCACCTTTTTATTTAGTACTTATTTCATACTCTTTTCCGCATTCTCTTGGCTAAAAAGTCTCTCCCTATTTACCTATTTTTTCTCCATAATGGTGAAGCGAGATTAATCTACATGAAAATAAATAAACTATAGAAGGAAGGAATTTTCAGTTGTTTTTTTCAGGAACTTAGGTTGTAATTTTGAAAACAAACAAGCCAAACAAATGGAAATTATGACAGATATGTTTTTACAATGAAACCACAATTTCTTCATTGGCTATGTGTGTGTGAATAGACATAAATAATGGTTATATTATATATGAACCAAATTGAACTATCGATTAACAATGAATAAAGAGATAATTGTTGAGATAAGATGATTGTATATAGTCAACAAGAAACCCGGGACCTAGGTTTCGTGCTACCTGACAATCGTCTGCAAGGTGTACCTGTAACTTTGAGCGAACTGATGCTTCCTGACAAATTCGATCCCGTGTCTTCCAGCTTTTTTCCTAGGTACGTTTTTTGTAAATGGACACTTTTTATTTAGTTTATTTTAACACACAGACATTGGTACAAGGAGGCACCAAATACATATGCGCCACACAGATCTCATTTAATTTGTATGAGGGCTGTGATACTGCCCGGGTGCCCAAACCGAAGCAGGTGGATTTCTTAGGGGACCACACCTCGAGCGTTCGACCTGAAGGTCTGATCTACAAGGCAGTGGAGCATCGTAAGGAGGTGCAATCACATGGTAGCCGGTGACCAACGATTGGTTCATACGCCATTTGTTCCTTCAGGATACTGGAGCCGATGTGCACCATTGGTTTGGGGTCCGGTTAAAGCGCCGGACATTCGCTTTTCGTCCTCTCATTTTTGTAAACAACACCCCCGCCACGAGAAAGCAATGAGTAGGACTTACCGGGCAGAAGTTGTATACGCGTGGCCAAGTGAGAGCATTTCGAGAGGGAAAGCGGATTATCCCCACTCTCGGCCGTACCAGGGCATTTGGGGGCATCACAATGAAATTTCACTTCATTCCATACTGTTTTGCATTTTTTTTACAACTTGCTAACATTCACAATCACACACCAGTGAATTCCTCAATAACCTAGTGTTAAGTAATAAGGTTAATAAGTGTTTTTCACTAAAATTAGTGATGTGGCGGATAAAGTGCCCCGTGACATTAAAATGGCTGGGTCGCTCCTGACTGATTTGCCACTATAATTAAGCTTAACCATATATGTATGTCGACAGATATAAGTAGTGTGTAACACAATGGAAAACCTGGTAGAAGAAGGTTGGAGAGATCAAATAAAAGAGCATGGGAACAAAGAGTAATGGGTGTAGAAATGAAATTTTTCAAATGACGGATTTGGTGTATGGTTTTTATATTTAAGCAAATAACTCTGTAATTTTGTTAAAATACATTTGGTAGTTTCCGTTCATCACATATTGACTGATCGCTTAATTGTGTAAGTAATCAAGTAGGTTGGGGTTAGAATATATAACAAGATTGTTGAAAGTCAAATGCCCAATTCGTTTAACTATCAACTATGCATTATATCATTCAGATATACATCAAGCAATGACAGCTGTACAAACCAGATGAATAAAAAAACTTTGGGATCAATTACAGAATATTATGGTCAATATTTGGTTTAATATATTAGATGGATGAAACCGCAGGCGAAAATTCTCAATTTATAATTGCGTTCTGTAATGGGAAATGTTAAAGGATTAAAACAGCATTCAGTTAATCAATTTATAAAGAATACAATGTCTAAATTCATTCATTCAAAACTTGTTGGTAATAAAATTGAAATCAACAATGAGAATCAGACAACCGGATAGTATTTAATATTCAGTCATCGTTATCTTAATGACTTATTTGAACTATATTGATGATCAAGATTGTTCTTTTAGGCTTTACCATACAATAATAATTAAGGTCTGAGAGTGAAATGGTACTGCTGACTGTAGTGGGTCGTGATTAGAGTATACAACCTTTATCTACACCGATGGTACTTTCCCACAACAGAAAAATGTTAAAAAACACGATTTCTAAATATAGTACACTTTACTCTGCATGACAGATTTCTATCTTCAGAGGTGAGGCATTTAAAGAACGAAGATAACACGAATATATTATACATGACCTACCCTAAGGAGTTGCCTTTTGCACTTAGTAGTCACGCTTACAATTCATCAGAATACTACTAGCCAATTTTTCTTTTCAGGGACCTAAAGATGATAATTTCGCGGTGTGGGCAACTGAAAAGTGACAACCGCTCACAAGTCGCTAACAATACATGTGTGAACTTAAATCGACGCACCTATGTGCTAAGTTCTACACTGCTAATGACCGACTAGACTACTATTTTATTAAATTCATTTTCAAAAGAAATGTGGCCACAGAAAGGATATATTTTAATTTTTGACACCACGATCGGCTGAATGAAGCATAGAGATAATAATTTTGTAACTTGACAACGCAGAATGAAAGACAGATTTGTTGAATTAGTGCACTTCAACTAATTGTAGTTTCTGTTCACGAATTTAAATAATATACAATTGAACCATTATACACAAACTTCTGTCATATCTAGTTCCATGTAACAGATATAAGCTAAAAAAGAGGGTTCAAACGTACAATTTGATGATTAACTGCCAAGAGTTTATACAACTGACTTCAGTGTAATTGACATCAATCCACTAAGACGAGGTTCACTCACATCTTTTTTCACTCAATATAATCTACGCATTATATTTTCAGAAGTTTTTCTCTAGACGAAAACGTTCATCACTAGTATACCCTTACATACATAAACACAAATGAATAAATTCATTGAGATCATTGGAAATGAATCAGTCTGTGATTTTATAAAACCTGTTTAATTTACCAGTATATCTTGTTAGTAATCGTCCATATCTAAAACAATCAATAGTATTCACCGAAACACTCACCATTTTGACTTTTGTACGGTCAGTCTTTGTTTATTTACCGGTCACGAAACTTTATTTCAGAAGCATGAATGTTGTATACTGATTTAATTTCGTTTTACACCTCATTATTATTAGATTTATACGTGTTTTATTATCGAATATTCCTACTTATCTATATTACTGGATATTCATGTATTAATTACATTTATTAATAATATGGAAACAGATAATGTTTTTAACGATTAACGACTCTTTCGTTCGACAGTTTGTGGGACATACTTTAAGATATATATATATATATATATATATATATATATATATATATATATATATACATGCTACTTATATCTACCGACATCAGTAGCACACACCACAATACTAGTCAAGCATGTATATTGGAAATAGGCCAAGTCAACGAATACAATTAGAAAAATATTATTTTTAATTAATCAGAGACATTGTGATTGCTGGCAATATACATCGAAGAGAATATAATGTATTCATATATCGGGTCCTGAACTGTTAACATTTAACTGGCAACCACTCAATATTTATCGAAAGGATCGATCAAGAAATAAGAAAAGGAAACGTGTTGAAATAATTGGTGTTGAGAATTCTATATTGTACCGTAAGTAGTCTGTTGACCCCAGTTGTTTGGCAAAAGTCCAGTGACACCCAGTAAAATACATACAATTGACGAAAATAATTTATTTTAAACAATAAATGATAATTGTACATAGAAAAGGGAAAAATGTAAGTAAAGAATAAGAGTGGTTTTTGTTTAATCAATCTATATTATACACTGACATATGAACTCAAGCATGAATGGATTAATTTTTCATAATAATAATAACTGTTATATCGCGCTCAACGGTTTGATTCCCATTAAACGTAAACATGAGGCAAGTACATTTCTAGATGCTAGGAAGATGAATAAACGTATCTGAAAAAGTAGATAAAATAAGATATATATATGAGTGCTGGTGGGCGGCCTATGCTCCTCCACGAGGAGTAACAGGCGTAAGTAAAGTAAGTATATATTTAATGAGAAGAATCATAGTTCATTATAATTTAACAAAGAAAACTACAAACTAGAACAATCTATTACATTTATTTAAAGGAGACACATCGATCTTTGAAGTTGAGGTTGTTCTCACAATGATTTCAATACTTAATTGATGTGTTATCTCTTTCTGTTCTTTCAGTTGGTCAAGTGATACATAAAAAAAGAGGAATTTTAACTGAAGATTTCATTTCAACCCATCTGTTTTTCATCCAGTATGTTGAGTTGCACTACACCGACATGTTCATAGTTTCAAATGCTTGAAACATTTAGTGAAAATATTCAGGATACACTTACTAAATCTACGGAAAAATGGTTACCAGCTCTGGATACAATACAATTATTGAACATTAAAAGCGATATTAAATAACCTTATCCTATATTTATACATAATCAACCAGTTATTAATTGGATAGTTTGTATTGTTATATCAAATTATAGGCGGTTAAATATATAAAGTTTTCAAATATAAATACCATTTTATCTTAGGATCATATAAAATCCCTCGTATATTGTGAAACTATTCACAACATCTAATTTCAGTAATTAAACGACTAAACTCATAGTATCTTGGAGGCTTAGTAGTAAGTCAGTTATTAATCGGGAGTTACATTTCAGATACTGTTTTCCACAGATATATTATGGTTAGCAAAAAATATTCGTACTGTTCATAATACTTTAAATAACCACCTTAGTGTGACGAATTAATGTTGTGACAATGAAAAAGAATCTCAGAATGTAACTTAAGTACACGGTTAATATATTTGTGGCTTTTTGAGATACATGAGAAGTAATGATACTTACTGGTTGTTAAAACCGAATTAAATGAAATGGAGGGTTGTAACTTATGACCTACTAATGTCAGTAGATGATTAAAACATTTTGTATTTAGGTTGTTACCCTAATGGTTGATCAGGAATTTAACTATTTTTATTCATAAACTATTTTCTGGAGTGATCTAAATACTATTTATACATTCGTAAATGAGTATATGCAACTAGCTACGGCATCGCTTAGATTAATGTCGATCATGCCACCGAATTCGCTGGCACGGCAGGTGGGAAGAGTCAGCTCTTACTCTCCTTCTCTCTCTCTCGAAATGCTCTCACATGACCACGTGCATACAACCACTGTCAGGGAAGTCCTACTCACTACTTTATCGTGGCATTACTGTTCTTTGCGAAGTTGAGATGACGAAAAGCAAGTGTCCGGCGCTTTAATCGGGTTGGTGGATATGGAGGATCCACTTAGGGGAGTTGGAAAACACTGATTCCAAACCAATAGTGCACATGGGTTCCAGGATCCTTAATGAATAAATGGTGTATAAACCAGTTGTTGGTCACCGGCTACCATGGGACTGTATTTCCTTACGTTGTTCCACTGCCTTGTGGATCAGACCTTTAGGTCGAAGGCTCCGGTTGTGGCCCCCTAAGAAAACCATCTGCTTCGGTTTGAGCACCTGGGAAGTATCCCAGCCCTCACGCAAGACGAATAATTTATGTGGCTCATATCTATTTGATGCCTCCTTGTATCAATGTTTATGTGTTTAAATAAATATAAATAAATAAATATGTCAATCATATAATGAAGATGAATTTGATTAAGCATGCAAAATCACTGGATATTTTCTAACTCTTACAGACTATGACTTTAAACCGATTAGGCAGAATTACTATGAGGTAGTGTACCAATGTAAATTTTGTTCAATTTGTTTCAATAGGGAAGTTCTACCGTTGCTACAATCTTACGTATTCGATCAACATAGTAAACAGTATGTGAGGGAAAGGGACTAATTTCATACAACATGAAATGAACTACCAGTATTGTAAATTTCTCTGCTGATTACCAAAACTTAATGATTTGTTTAACACTAATGAAGAATTAAATTGATTGTTCTATTGATATTCATTTATATCCTTTTGATAACATTTTAACAAGTTATATACTCGATTATTTTACTATTAAATTATTATGTGCTTACTAGTGACTAAATTCAAGATGGATTTCCTGGAGGTTTAATGAGAATCCGTGACCAGTGCAGTTCAACTGTATCTGTTGTGAGGCAGTTACTCACTAATGACAATGATGGGCGGTCGCGCAATATCGTGGATTGGTGGAAGTTAGACATGAACACCGTTAGATGTCGGTTCAGTGGTCTAGAGGTCAAGTGTTCGCGCGAGATACAGAAGGTCCTGCGTACGGGACCGTGGATGCGCACTGCTCACCAGTCCCACACTAAGACAAAACGGCCATCCAGCGCTACCACATTTTTAATGGTGGTCTAACACTGATCGATTTATGATATCAATCTAAAGTTAACAATCTCCACAACCCTATACCGATATTAAATATGTGTTTAATGATGACTAGTACAGGTTCAGACTTATGTCAAGACCGAAACAGTTGTCAACAATGATATTGATTAATTGTTACGCTTTATCACGAATTGATTAAAGTTGAAAGTGTAACGTTGGACGCAAACCTGATGGTTAATATTTCGCTACAAGAAGTAAAAGTTTTGGATTTGACCTGTGAAAGAGCCGTGGATGTGTACTGATGAAAAGTCCCTAACTATGATGAAACAGATGTTTAGTATTTCCTGATTTTCAGTAATACTCTATATGAAAACAATTTGTGACAAATATAACCTACATAAATTTGGCCAATCGATTACGGGTTTCGTCCTCAGAAACTTATTCATTTGATGGCTTAGATTTTAATTTCATGAGAAAATTTTTACGTCACTAATGTTTTTTTTATACCAAGTTAATTGTTTCCTTAGTTCTAAAACAGTTCCATTAGAGGGGGGAGTAAAGAACATAGCAAAAGAAGAATTAAACATATATTGATCACACTCACTAGTTGATCTTCTTTATTTGTGCATGCCAAAACTGGTAAATGCTTCCAAGCTGAGTTTACATCAGAGCTGTAGAATAATGGTATGGATTATGGACAAAAACAGTAAACAAACTTTAGTTGAAGGAGGTTATGAAGATTAGTTAAAATTACAGGTTGTATTCGTCACAGACTAGCCTTTATTATAGTATTGTTGAAAATCAGAGAACTAGACAAGTGTTTTATCTTAGTATAGGTTAAACAACTGACGGAGCTATAGGTGCATGCTGTTAAAAAGTCTCATACTAAGACTAAAAAGCCATTCAGTGTTCCATGATTTTCAATGATAACTCAACTGAGACCAGTTCACAAAGTATGTAACTCACAAATGAAAGGAATTATTGTTGATCGAAAAGCTGATCATTGATAAAGTTTCATGCACACTGAATGAAGTGAAAAGCTCTATGGATTATACAAACCTACTATAATACACCGATAGTATACACAAAGCCAAATCAAACGGTCTTTTGCCTGAAAGCTTTTGACGTGTTTAACATAACAGTATATTCAGTCAGGCAGTTGGTAACGTAGAACCTGACACATATGTTGATGGGCTTGAGTTGTCGAATAACATCAACACCGCAAAGTGGGTAACGCGTTGGCGTTCCAAACGAAATGTATTGGGCTTAAGTCCTGGGTAAGTACCAACATTAGCATGTAGGTGTGTCCAGATGACCAGTCCCAGATAGGTAGAAACGCGCGCCCTGTGGTTTACTGCTAAACACATTCCACTCATTCTAACTATTTTAAAATATACTTTAAAAAAAAATATTTTTTGATGTATGAGATATAGGAGACTTACGTGAGTTGTAATGCATATTGTAGTACGTAATATGGCTCGTATTTTGAATAAGCAGTATGAAGCACAGTAGAAAATCTATCAATAAAGGATAGGTGATAAAACAAATTAAAATGAATAGTATCTGGTCAAACAACTAACCTAGTAAATCATAAAGAACTGATGGATCTTTGAATCTGTCCTAAAATCTTCACAGTCCATTAGTTTGCGTAAGTAGGCTACAGGAATTTAATTATGAGTGCCTTCGGATCAATGGGGATGAATCATGGGATGATAAACTAAGGAATCCTGAGGTTAGGTGTACAGTAGTAGACGGAAATGGCAAATAGGCGGATCATATTGCGAATCTCCATCGACCGAGGTATTCGGAACATGTGTTACATATGCCTGACAATCACCTACATTGACGTTAGCTAGTGCCAAGGTAAGTTGTAAGAAATCGAAGTGAGCAACACAATGGATGGGATAACTGTATATCAACAAACGACTGTTAAGTTTTATCGTGGATTTGTTACTGTCATGTGCGCTTGAGAAGAAGAGGTATACAGGTGAGAAGGGATGATGAATAACAGATAAGTCCTATGAGCGTTTTCAAGGATCCTATGTACAAAGGTTGTAGCGATCAATTAATCGTCATCGTAATGACAATTTAATAGCTTCATAGTATTGTTACAATGAAATCAAGGTATCAGAGACCCTAACTACACAGCTGCTAGATTTTCGAAAGTGAAAATGAGGAATAAAACTAATCACACACACGTATCATGCTCAGTCTTGTGGTATACTACATTAAAATACAGTTAATAATAATATTGTTTATATTCTCAGCTTTTACTATCAACTAGATAACATTTAAAAGCAGCTTGACCTGCACAACTGATCGGCCAATTTTACAAAGGATTTTTCATTAATTGTTGTTGAAGGCCATTCTCTAAATTGATCAAATTCATGAATAAGGTGATCCATGTCAAACACCATTGATGTTGGATCACTGCTATTAACTTTGAATGGAAATAGACCAGATGAAATTGAACGAGATTCTAGGCTTTAAATAAAAGGCAAGAAAGTTGAGGTAATAATAATAATAATAACAATCAAGCGAATATCATTTTTTCTTAAGTTATTGGAAATGAATGTATCTCTAGAAGAATATATGTTCAGTCGACTAATTTATTCTATTATCATTTATTTGTTCATTTAAACAAACATTGGCACAAGGAAGCACCAAATATATATACGCAGCCTTTGAACTAGAAGTCCGATCCACGAGGCAGTAGAGCAATGTTGGGAGATGCAGTTTCATGGTAACCGGTGACAAACTATTGGTTCATATGCCTTTAGTGGCCCTATATCTGACCCCATTTACATCGTATGGATAGTTGTTGTCGATATTTACATCCTGGCTATTCTCAAATATAATCATCGCGTTAGTGAATAACGGAATTAAATAAGTCAGATACGAGAATGAATTTCAAATACATACATTTTGTACAAATATTGATCCAGGCAGACGATCAAAGGAACAAAGCGAAACGAAATGATGGGCGGTGGAGAAGGCATGTGAGCCAACTCCATTTAATAAACGCTAATCAATATTTATAGCCAGATAAAAATAAGTTACAGATATGTGACGAATAGAGTAAGAAGTGCGCTCATATAAAAATAGTCAAGGTTGATAAGTGAATAATTAACAAGATCAAAATGTGAATCAGGAAGAAAGGATGAATTGGTCTGTTCAGAAGCCAGAATAAGTTATATGGGCTTAACATAGTAACCGACACTAAATGCCTTTTGTTCCATCAGGACCCTGGAGCTCATGTGTACCATTGGTATAGAATCAGCCTTTTCTAACTCCCCTAGATCAATCCTGCATATCCACTAAACCCGGTTAAAGCACCGAACATTTGCTTTTCGTCCTCTCTGATTCTTAAACAACGCCGCGAGAATTCATTAAGTAAGACTTCCCTGGCAGTGGTTGTATACGTGTGACCACGTGAGAGCATATCGAGGAGCTGAGCATTTAGTGGTCATTATTATTAGATAAAAACTTGCTTTTCTATATAAGTTGCTATTGTATGTAAAAGTAAAGGTAATAGTGATTGACTGAAACATTCCAGGGAATCCTGATAGATCAAGTCAGCTATCAACGAAGTATGGTGTTGATGGAACTATCAATAAAAGTGATAAACAAACACAACTACTCCACTTTCTATGGTCGGATTAAGAAGAGATTGAATAGTTCGAAATATGAAATGGTATAAGTAAACAAACACAAGGAGATTACAGAGATGAAGTTTTATGTCAATCAGTCAGTTATAAATAGTGTAGAACCGAAGCAAATATGTACATCAGTTGCTAAACCATATCAACACAGAAAGATGAAAATATCAAGGAAAATACAAGAGTAGTAGAGAATTAACAGTATCATAAGTGATAGTGGAAAAGATTAAGCATAGAAAATATGATTCATGAAGAGAGAATGAATTTGTGGAGTCAAAAATATTAAATAATTTTGAAACTCAAGATATGAGAGAAGGTAAAGAATGGATGTATGTTTGTGCGATTCAGACTGCCTCTGAGCCATGTAATCATTTGTTACGGTAGTTCTGCGGACACCAACCAGGAAAACTAAACTCAGGTCAGTTGTCAACATCTTTGTGAATTTAGTCAATCATAATCAACATAGAGCTTAACACATATATGACCTATTCTTCCATAGCAAGAGTAGTGTACAAATGTGTTCAGTCTCTGATTGCAGCTATTATGCGGACTCCAACTACTTCATGCACTGATGTCACGTCTGAGTTTAGCCATGTTCTTTTATTTACTAGTTTTCTATTCGGAGTTAATCATTATGTTAATCTCTTCACCTAAAATATATCGTATATTTTGCATTAGATTAGTCAATTACACCAAACTTATTTTCGAATACATACCTGCACAGTCTTGCATGACAATATTGTAGAGTTAATCCGCATAATTCACTTACAGCTGATGATTTCAACAAATGACTATTTTTCATTGTTGATGATGATGTCACTGGTAAACCAAGGAATGTCTGCAAATTAATTGGTTTTTGACGTGGATAAGCAAACATTGTTGTTACCAAACATGTTACACCTAAATGATCAGCTATTTCATTTTGACATAACAATGGTGGATTAACTGATTCATTTTGGGTTATTCGCGTATCTAACGAAGGGAAAGAAAAAAAATCAAACAAAACGATAAACAACTAATAAGTAGAGATAGATGATAACTAGCAGTGCAAACCAGGACATCTAGAGGGACTATTATAGAATAAAATCAAATGAGGATGTTGACTAGCGATCGTATAATGATTAATTTTTAGTGCGGAAAATATTATTAGGCACTTACAAGACGGTGGATTGGTGAGGACAACACTCATCAATGTGAACGCAAGAATGAAATGACTGTGTATAAATGTAAGTGAAAAGGAATTATGAGATGGAATGATATTGAAGTTTTTGTTAAAGTTAGAACTAAGGTTAGGATTTGTAATAACTGTATAAATGAATTCATTGGCACATTTGTGAGTAAGTGGTCGGATGTGTCGTCACTGCTATATTTGGAGAGCCTTTGGTGCTATGTACGCATCCACTTTTTTGAGCACACAGTCTTACTGCTTTACGTGACAATCGGGAAACACTGTAATTCATCGACCTTACTGTTTATACCAGGGAAACAGGATCCACTGCGATTCTCATAACGTGAAATTAACACACAGAAGACTGGTGATGTGAAGATTTCTTGACTCTCCAAACAAGTCCCTTAAATTACGTAATCATTAGACCGAAACAAGATTACTTTTATGCTAAGTTTTACACACACGTTTAAATCACACACATACAGGTGGAGATGAATAGGCTTACGATAAAACTACATTGAATATAGTTCACCGGAATTGATACACAGAATATAATTGTTACACTGAATGAGTTCACATTTCTTACATTGAGCAAAGTATGTACTGAATTGATGATGCAAGAAAATATTGATTTAAGGTTAGGTTGGAATTAGAATTAGAGTTTAATGTTGAAGAGTTAGGATCAAGATATAAGGTTTAAGATTAGGGTTCGGGGTATGGATTTAGGATTAGAATTGGGGTTCCAGTTTAGGATTAGTGTTTGATGTTAGCGTTAGAGTTAGGATATGTTTTAACTAATCCCAAATCCTAACCTTAAATTATATTTGCTGCTTTCTGATTAGCTGAAATTTACCGTAAATCAGTGCATAATTTGTACCAATTCGGTATTCTGATTAAACATTACTTCAATGAATAAATAACAATATACCCTTTTGATATGATTGAGAAGAATTATAAGGGCCTCAAATACTTAGATTTTAATTTTATTGGAGAATGAGTGACGTATAAAAAGGGGATTTTCGTCAGTTACTTATAACATCAAATCAACTTTACAAAAGTACTTTGTATACAAGTATGTTATTTGATATCAGTTCCTCTAAGAGTTTAAGACAATAATCATCCAGCCACATTAGCAATTATCGCACGGTCACATCTTTTTGATTCACTCACCTGTCGATTAACATTTTATTCACATTTGTCTTATTAACTCTAAAATGATTCATCATTAGGCAATCATCCCAACCCATAACATCATTTCATTAGAACCAAAGTTCATTAAACAATCAGTGAAAACAAGGAGACAATGAATAACTGTGTTATGTTTAAATTAGGATAACTTTTCAATATTACACTGTCGACGAGTAGTTTCCGACGAGAATGTACGTGTAATTTCGGCATACTACTTAAAATTGAATGTTTTGACCGCTAAGATACTGTTTAACAATTAGGATGGTAGGTGGAAGAAACTTATTCCATGAGTTATCGTTGGTTTACAACAGTTTGCAATAAAACGTAATCACCTAAATCATTAATTAAAAGATAATCTGTCACATATACTATCGAATAACTTACTCTGTTTAATAATACTTTAATAATGGTATGTATGTCTAACCACTACCAGTGATAGTGTAGAAGTTAGTAGAAAGCTGTGAGTAACAAATTAAATCAGTCCAAGAATTCATAAGATATGTACGTAGGTGTAAACCATCAATTTAAGGGGCACATGAAAATCATGATTAGTGATTGGAAACATCGAGTTAAATGGCTCAGAACCGTTCAGTTGATAGATGGGCACACTCGTTATGTTTTTCTAAATCTTGAGTTACGATATTTTTTTATAAATATTTTCTCACGCTTTCTTTTCAAGCCATATTTTCAATTTGAAGTAGAAACGAATGGTGGCTAACAGTGGGATTCAGGACGCGTATTTAGTCCTAATTGGGAATAAATGTACCTGCAACCTAGAGTTAATGTTCACTCTAGGACTCGAACCCAGTACCTTTCGTTTCAAATGCCATCGCATTATCCATTAAGTTACTGATTTGTGCAATGGGGTGAATTTTGATTCATATTTGTTTGTTTGAACCTTCCTATTAATATTTTAAGAATACAATTGATTATTCTCTTTTGACCTATGTGGATAACCTAGATATTGATAGTAAGTCACAAGTATTTGAAGGAGAAATAAATTTTTAATCTTTGTTATTGTCAATACCACTGCATTGTTTCAATTAATTTGGTATTCATCTAGCAAATTATACTCTCGGGTTAATACGATTATAACTAACTTAGTGATAAGTGGGTAAGACATGACATTACATTACTACAACGGTATATATTTTTTCCTATTTACGAAGACAAAACAAAATAAAAGTATAGTTTGAATGTATAAATACAGATGATTGTTTTCTTACTTTGTGAACATTTCATTCGATTCAGCATAAATTGTTGAGCATTATTTAAAATATCCAATAGAAATAAACCTTCACCTTTTCTAGTACTCATTCCCACAATTCGACCGAATGGAATATGTAAAAGATTACGAGCACATTGACTACACTGATCATTATCAGTATTATCATCAACATCATCACCGATCATAGATCTAGGAGCAAAACATGAACAAGTAACTTTACTTTAAATAAGTAGAAACGTTACTTTTCTGTTGCTTATTTCATTATACTGCTTGGAAGTGAACAACTATAGAAGTTCTCTATAAACTTACATTTCATTCTCATTGATGGTTGAAAAATAAGACACCAAAAAGTGGTTGTATGTAGTAAGTTACAAAACCAATAATCTAATCTACAATCACTAAATAATGACCATTGTTATGTTTGTCTAATCATTTAGTGCTGGTCGAATTCTATAGATTAAGTTGCAAAGTAACAAACTAATCTAAGTGACTTGATATTACATGTATTACGTTGAAATATTAAGTGGTGTTTGAAGGTAGTTGGTAGGAAACTCTAGTCTATTTAGGCTTCGTGTTAATCAGGACTGGTGACGAAGCCATAGACCCCATTTTGATGGAACACTGATGCATCTGGTATAATCCGAATCCACATCGTTTAGTTTCATATTCAAATTTGGACTGAATCAGAACTGACCTTCTTTAGGACTGAGACACATTCAATTTAAAGGGTTTCATACAATTCACCTCCAAATACCTAGAAACACTATTATTCCTCAATGGATGCAACTTTGGACTTATCAATCGAATTCATGAGCTTAGCGGAAATCTTATCCTATCTTGCTATTTAGCTGCAATTGAATTAACCGATAGTTTGTTACGGAAAAGAAGTCTAAGGTATCGATTATTAGATCTTTATGGCAAATTAATTTAAGTTTTAAGAAAAAATGAACATATTGTCATCATTGGTTTTCTGAATGAGTGGGATAAAGTTGAGGTTTGGATACAATAGCATTCAATGTATAACACATGGATGAATAAGAAATACTAAAACTGACTTTATAAAGTCGAAACTCTCACACAGATAACAGTTATTTCTTTTTAAACGATGCACATATAATGACTACCAACCCAGAACCTATTACTCAACTGAACGCGTAATATCAGAAGATAACATTTGACCTAAAGCTGGAAAGAATGAATATTTTTTGAAAACATTAATCTACATAAATTTTTAAACGATCTATATATCCATAGGATACAGCCTTTACTAGTGCACGGCGACTGGTTTATTTCCCGACTAATCAGCTCCAGTGAGTATAGTGATACTAAATACCCAAACTTCCTATGAGAATATTATACAAACACTAATGCTTTTATTATTTCGTATTTTATACTGGTTGAATCTTCAGGATATACTTCCATCAACTTCCAATTCTTGTTCTGATTGGTTACTAGTCCAATCAAAAGACGGGTTCTGTGGTAACTGAAGAGAGTTGATGAACACTAAACATTTCAACTGATTATCCATCAAGGGACGTAACTTGAGATATTCACACTTAAGGTTGACATCAAAAGCTGGCGTACTGTAATCACCAGCTCCACTTTTTATTATATCAAGACATTTATGTAGAATACTAAACGGTGAAGTTGAGTCCCCGAACATCTTTGATGTGTTATTGTCCCCTTGAATCTAAATTCTTGAAGTACCTTCAGTAGCCCCCAAATGCCCTGGTATGGCCGAGAGCAGGGAGGGTTCGCCCTCCCTCTCGAAATACTCTCACACGGCCACGCGTATACAGCCTCTGCCAGGGAAGTCCTACTCACTGCCTTCTCGTGGCGGGGGTGTTGTTTACGAAAATGAGAGGACGAAAAGCGAACGTCCGGCGCTATAACCGGATCCCAATTCTATGGTGCACATGGGCTCCAGTATCCTGAAGGGACAAATGGCGTATGAACCAACTTTTGGTCACCGGCTTCCATGGGACTGCATCTCCTCACGATGCTCCACTGCCTTGTGGACTAGACCTTTAGGTCAAAGGCTCGGGGTGTGGCCCCCTAGGAAAACCACCTGCTACAGTTTGGGCACCCGGGCAGTATCTCAGCCCACACACTAAAACTATGATGAACTATCTGCTTATAGAAAATATTCGTTTCTCTCCGACTAACATTGAAATGACTGGTATTATTATTATTATTTACTATGTCATTTATTCACTATCTCCTATTTCTACTTTTTGTATCCGTTTCGACTCAGACAGCAGCTCGCCTATGGTGAAAATTCAGCTTTATCTAAACGTTCTCGAGTCACTGCCTGGTTGAAAATTGTATGTTACTACCGAATATGAGTACTGAAGCAGTTTTTCTGAAACCACGTGCACCATTCAAACTGGCTGCCTTCAACGTTCGCACACTTATGCAGGTCGGACAACAGATAGGGCTGGCTATGTCTTTGTAAAGTCTTAATATTGATGTGTGTTGTCTATCCGAGACCCGTATTCAAGACTCTGGTGAAGTACTACAAGTTCGCTCTCCATCTGTCGCTTCAAAAAGCTTGTTTTATGTGCGTTTACCCGGGGACCCTGTGGCATCTTCGTCTGGTCTTGCTGGCGTTGGTGTCGCACTAAGCGCTAGAGCTGAGGCAGCACTAGTCGACTGGATCCCCATTAACAGTCGGTTATGTGCTGTTAGATTAGAAGGTTCCATCAAAGTGAGAAGAAATCGGCGTGAGAAACGATGTCTTTTCGTCAACTCCGCCTATGCCCCGACAGATCGCAGCCCGGATGCAATCAAGGACGAGTTCTACCACCAGCTAACTGTTCTTCTCCAGAAAGTGCGTTCGACAGATATTGTAGTACTAGCCGGAGACTTGAATGCTCAGGTCGGGCGTCTAGGCACAGAAGAGAGTCGTTTAGGTGGCCGATGGGGACTCGTTGGTCGCAGGACAGATAAAGGGGAACGTCTACTGCAACTACGCACAGACCACAACCTGTTTCTGGCTAGCACTAACTTTCGGCACAGTCATCGCCGATGTGCCACCTGGCGTCCCCCTTCTGCATCTCAAGCCTGGACTCAGATTGATCACATCGCAATCAGCTACCGCTGACGCGGTTGTGTACAAGACTGCCACTCCTTTTGAAGTACCTATCTGGAATCTGATCATGCTCTGGTCTGCGCCAATCTTACCTTACTTTTCAGTGGACAACGAAGTGACCGCCACCAAAGGATTGATGTTAGCAAGCTGGCTGCAACTTCTGTTGCTAGTAAGTACCGAACCGAGCTAGCTTCTAGGCTAGCTACCATTCCACCGAAAAGTATAGATGAGCATTGGTTGCAATTGTATGACGCCATGAAAATGGCGGGTACAGTCTGTTGTGGGTTTGCGGAACGTCCCGCTTACAAACACTGGGTTTCTTCTGGTTCCTTACAACTCATTGAAGTCCGTCGGTCTACTCCGGGTGACCGTGAGTTTGACCACAGACGAAGGATGTTAAGTAATGAAATCGGGCAAAGGTTGCGTAAGGACCGAGAAGCCTGGTGGTCGTAGTGTGCTAATGAGCTGGAAGCAGCAGCTGAATCAGGTAATTACCTGAAGCTCTTCCAACTCATCCGAGCCACTGGCAGCAAGAAGTCTGGTATGAGCGAAACAATCTGCGAGGATGACGGAACGCCAATCACTAACATCCATCGGCGTCATGGACGATGGGCAGAATTTTTCGAAGGGCAGTTCAACTGGCCTGCTGCTACGGCAACATCGGTCAGACTGTCCTGCCCTCCATGGCCGGTGACGACTGATCCACAGAATGAGGCGGAAGTCTGCAAGGAACTCCAACTATTGAAGCGTTACAAATCACCGGGCCCAGACGACTTACCTCCGGCTCTTTTTAAAGATGGTGGTGACATTCTGACTAAGGGACTGACGACAATGTTTACGAAGGTCTGGGAACTAGAGAGTGTACCAACGTCATGGAATGAGTCGATAGTTGTCCCTATCTTTAAAAAGGGTTCACGTCGTTCCTGTAACAACTATCGGGGGATAAGTCTACTTCCGATCGCGTCCAAGCTATTGGCTTCCGTCATACTTCGTAGGTTGTTCAGAACCCGAGAAGGATTGACTCGCGAGGAGCAGACTGGGTTTCGTTCTGGTCGAGGATGTATTGATCATTTCTTCACCCTCCGCCAAATGTTAGAACACCGCCATACTTATCAAAGGCCAACAATCGTAGTGTTTCTTGATATCAGGGCTGCCTTCGATTCGTTGGACAGAACTGTTCTCTGGGATTGTCTATTGAAGAAGGGTGTGCCTGAGAAGTTTATTAACATCCTAAAAGCCCTATACACAAACACCTCAGGCAGAGTGAGGGCATACAAACACCTTTCTCCATTATTCCATTCGAGCAGTGGGGTTAGGCAGGGTTGCTCAATCTCACCAATCCTCTTCAACTTTGCCATCGATGACATTCTGGAAACAGCTCTGATGGATGTAAGTAATGGTGGTGTGGATCTGTTGCCTGGAGAAAGACTTCTCGACCTTGAGTATGCGGATGATATTGTCTTACTGTGCGAGAATGCCCAAGCTATGCAATCCGCACTTAATTAGTTGGCAATCAATGTCCGTAGGTATGGTATGTGCTTTGCACCTTCGAAGTGCAAAGTTCTTTTACAAGACTGGTAGGATTCGAATCCTGTACTCACTCTGGATGGTGAGCAGATTGAAGTAGTCGAGAAGTTCGTTTATCTAGGTAGCTGCATAAGTGCTGGTGGTGGTGTGAGTGATGAGATCAATGCACGTATAGTGAAAGCCAGAGCGGCTTATGCCAATCTGGGCCATCTTTGGCGCCTTCGTGATGTTAGTCTGGCTGTAAAAGGTCGGATTTACAACGCGACGGTGAGAGCAGTTTTGCTCTATGGTTGTGAAACCTGGCCTCTCCGAGTTGAGGATGTTAGACGACTCTCTGTGTCCGATCATCGTTGTCTCCGAAGGATTGCTGACATTCAGTGGCAACACCATGTCAGTAATGCAGAGGTTCGGCATCGTGTGTCCGGGCACAGAGACAACAATGCAATTGGTGTCACCATCTTGAAACACCGACTTCGGTGGCTTGAACATGTTCTACGAATGTCGTCCCAGAGAATTCCACGTCGTGCATTATTTGCTGACTCTGGGACTGGTTGGAAAAAGCGGAGAGGTGGTCAGTATATGACATGGTGTCGTGGTATGAAAGAAAGCTGCAAAGAGCTAGCTTCTGTTGGTCCTTTACGACTCCCTGGTTGGGGCCCGAGAGACGGTGTAACGCAGTGGCTAGAGACGTTATCAGATATGGCTCAGAATAGAAGCCAGTGGCAATCGTGCTGTAATCTTCTTTTACTTTCTTCATAAAAAGTGGTTGTATCTTCCTTAACTGAAAGATCTCTTCTGATTGTACCTTTCCGTTTCCCCCACCATTGTTCTCTCTCTCTCCCTTTATTTTATAATTCCCCACGTTCATTACTTTTTTTTCTCTTTTCTCCTTCTCTTCAAGTTATCATTGTTTTGTGTGGCGCATATATATTTGGTGCCCCCCTGTACCAATATTTATGTGTTCAAATAAATAAATAAAACCTTCAGTAGGATCATGTTTGCTGTTTGCAAGCTCACATCAACAAGCGAGTCTTCCAAGTACCCACCTGCCTAAAGAATTCTATACTGAACATATCTCCCCAACGCTCGGACTACATCGAAAGGGTATTCCCATATTTAGGGCCATATATAAATTTAGGGATGCTGTTAAAAACTGCATCATTAGAAGTAGATGGAACCCTGGGTGTGAACCGAGTCTGTTTTTGTCCTTACTAAAGAATTCATCTAACTTAATCTGTGTTCAGGTAATCTGTAGAATTAAGACAGTAACAATGAGAACAAAGAAAACGAATTAAACACATAGATATCGATGGATTAGTTTAATCGAATTCTTTAACACAGTTGACCGCGACTATAACTCATCAGCTCCATAGTCAGTGTTCCAGTTCAATAAATTTAATAATTAAGTAAAATCTACTTATGCTCTGTAATGTTATTATTTTCTTTTACATAAACTATCCATTTACAAAAGCCATTTTGTGATTGGTTAGGAATTGGTTGAAAATTCCCCAAAATTATTTTAAGCGCTCTCTTATACTAACACATTACCAGAAAATTTACTACACCACCGAGCAATGGGATAAAATGTTTGATTTATAATTCAACCACTAATTCATATTGACAAACTTTATCTAGAAATGAACTTAGGATTAATCAGTCATCATTATTACTAACACTTTACTTATTCATTGAATAAACCACATTTATTAAAATGTAACATCTATTAACTCAGAATCATCCAAGCACATCTTATTTCTGGTAATCATCAAATCGGACAAACATGATATTGGTCACAGAAATTGCAACTATCTGATTCCTACAAGAGGTGGTTCAGCGCCGGAATTGTTTATTCGTAGCGTCTCAGATTGTAAGACTAAGCGACGTAGTTCAGAATGATATGGGGAGCATCAATGCTCTTAAGACTGTAGATACATTGCTGACAAGCGACAAATGGTACGGAACCTATGAACAGTGTATCCTGCTGACTACTTTTAACCACCTAAGAGTTGGATATTTAGACTGAATGACCACCCAGAATTAGTCAATTTTTCCGTTATACAATTCTCAGTATGCTGATCAACTTCGATAGAATAAGAAGTAAAACACATCCACATATCTGAAACCAATCGCAGCTTCTACATTGAAGAAAATTCATTTGAATACAAAAACAATGATACTTACAAAACTGGCCAATTATAACCCATTTTTAGGAGAACATAGTTGAGTTGTTGAAAGTGTAAACGCTGTCCGATTTCAACCTTTAAATAAAGTAATAAACGGGATTATGCTGGCTAATAGATAGTATAACAAGAATAATTTGGATAACAGAAAACATAATAAAAATCACGAAATGAGCCATTTTACTTAGCGTTTTAGAGTGACATTGAAACATCTGCCAACCAAAACGTCACATTATAATATCACCTGTGATGTAGACGGTGACTAATGATATGTAAATGAAGTGGTTAATGGATTCAACTATTCTAGCCAAACCAGTACTGAAACGAAATTTTAAATTTAAAAGGAGAGAAACTCACACTAAACACGCTTGGAATGCTACTTAAGGTATTCAGAAGACTAAGAACTATGTCAACGTCTTCACCAAATAAAACCATACCATCGGAGTATTTCTAGTCGATAAGCGGAATTCATGTTAGAGGATTGATCCCTACGAAGTTATATGAAGTGTGATTTCTAGACCATTTACAGCGAAATTAACTAAGAAAGAGGATATCCCGTAGAAAACTGACTCGATAAAAAAACGCTAACAAGAGGGTATCGGGGTAACCATGATAAAAAACATGAGATTGATAGTTCCGACGATATCCACCATAAGCCGTAACTTAAAAAATAATACTGGAATGTTTAAGAACTCCATTAGTAAACCCTTTTAATGACAAAAACTGTACAAGAATTTTCAGTAAAAAGAGTCGAGAAACACAACTATAGTCAGGAATCGGAAACTTATATCAAAAATATAAACACACATACAATTAACATAGAGTATAAGCTATTCACATGCAACATAATACTGAAATCATCTTGAAATTTAAATTGTTAACCGAATTCAGACCTACGCACTTAAACTTCAGCAACACAGTACTTGGGCATGGGATAGTAATGCCATCCGACCACATGAAGCAAATTAAGTGAAGTGGTGGTCGAACTTATGGATTAATACATGAGTGTCTTTTGGCCATATCAGATAGTCATGTCAGAAAGTCACCGAACACTATCCAGAATTTAGGTGCTCCGGTCAACCAGTTGTACGGGTTTTGTGAAGATTCGTCAAATTTGTAGGTTCTATCCATCACAGGTTAGTTTCAGTTGAGGTATCATTGAAAACTATGGAGCGCTAAACAGCTGTTTCGTCCTATTACGGAACTCCTCATGAATAAGTATTTATGACACCATTAGAGGGCATTGCAAGTGATATTAATTTGTAGTGAATAAAACCTACTTTGGTCGATTGTCCATTGATTATAAAAATAAAATATAAAAGGTAATCATTTATCGGACACGTGAAACTAGAGTGAAAGAGAGAGCTGTCTGGTGACGAAATGTTTATTTTTCAGCAACTTTCGAACCTCCAAGTTGTACTTATGATTGTAAATATAATGGCTGAGGAAAAATGAATTTTACCGCTGAATTAATCTTTTGTTGCATATTGACAAAACCATTAGTACATAAATATGTGCATATATATAACAAATATATTACATACCACATAATGTATTCTATCAAAATGATATTTTTCGTAACGAGAAATCGCCGCCGCTATATCCCTGTGAGTTCAAAAAAGAAAACTACGCACTAAAAAAAGCTACATACACATAAAAGAGATCCTAGTAATAATAATCAAGCCTAATTAGAATAGTGTTAAGTTATTTACCTGGTCAAATATAAAGTTGACTTATCACTTTTTAGTAGGATAATATTTTGATTCGAAAAATTCACATCATTATTGTTTGCTGTCGACATACAAGTCAGTCCATCACTGAACAAAAAAATACAACAATACGAAAATGAAACAGATAACCAGTACAACAATGAATTATATAGTGAAAGTACATTCTACTATTTAGCTTACCGTACTCAATCAAATAACTTAATAACAATGCAATACATAGTGAATCCTATATGTTGTTGGATTACCACAAATCAGTAATTAAATGGTGAAAACAGTGGAGTTGTAAAAAAGAAAAATTAAGTTTTGAATAAATGAATAGTGTTGACGTCTATGAACCAAACGATGGGTAATACAGGTTAGAATACCTAAGGGTGTTATGTCGTCTGTCCTTGCCAATTATCACGTAACGAAACCTCCAATTAGAAAACCGACTTCTGTGACGTAGGCCTTGTGCTAAACCTGTGATAAGTTAACCAGCACGAGCAGATATACAAGCGAGCAGTCAACTAACCATTATGAATTCTCAAGGTCCAATGATCAGATATCATACATAACAAATTCAGGTATTTATGTGTGTCTATCTCAAATCAAAACGTTAGACAAAAGACAAATTTTGACTAAGGATGGAATCTATGATGCGTTTCATCCCAGATGGGACTTGTTATTTAAATGTAAATGAATCCATGTTAATTTCCACACTGATATTCGAGTCTACCGTGTATTGCATCAAATACTGACGCTTTGTCTACTGAGATACTGAGTCGAGATAGCCACTAGCTTATGCAACAACTATACGTTTTGTTTGTAAAGGTTTGTGCTTTCCAATTTTCGGTAACAGTGAGGTTATTTGCCCTGGATATACATATCGCAATAGATTTATCAGATACAATCATTAATATCATCAACGGTAAAATACAAACGTTTACTACACAGGAAGATTTTTGGTAAAATTATATTATGCTGTCAGCTCTGAATAAACTAATCGGGATCAAGATAGAACCCGACCTGCTTCGGTCTGGGCACCCGGGCAGTATCTCAGCCCACGCACTAAAACATGATGAACTATTTACCTATGGAAAATATTCCTTTCGCTCCGATTTACAATGAAACGACTCGCACTATTATTATTATTTACTATGTCATTTATTCACTCTCTCTTATTCCCACTTTATGTATCCCTTTCGACTTAGACAGCAGCTCGCCTATGGTGAAAATTCGGCTCTATCTAAACGTTCTCAAGTCACTGCCTGGTTGAAAATTGTATGTTACCACCAAATACGAGTACTGAAGCAGTTTTTCTGAAACCACGTGCACCATTCAAACTGGCTGTCTTCAACGTTCGCACATTTATGCAGGTCGGACAACAGATAGGGCTGGCTATGTCTTTGGAAAGTCTTAATATTGATGTGTGTTGTCTATCACAGACCCGTATTCCAGACTCTGTCACTTCAAAAAGCTTGTTTTATGTGCGTTTACCCGGGGACCCTGTGGCATCTTCGTCTGGTCTTGCTGGCGTTGGTGTCGCACTAAGCGCTAGAGCTGAGGCAGCACTAGTCGACTGGATCCCCATTAACAGTCGGTTATGTGCTGTTAGATTAGAAGGTTCCATCAAAGTGAGAAGAAATCGGCGTGAGAAACGATGTCTTTTCGTCAACTCCGCCTATGCCCCGACAGATCGCAGCCCGGATGCAATCAAGGACGAGTTCTACCACCAGCTAACTGTTCTTCTCCAGAAAGTGCGTTCGACAGATATTGTAGTACTAGCCGGAGACTTGAATGCTCAGGTCGGGCGTCTAGGCACAGAAGAGAGTCGTTTAGGTGGCCGATGGGGACTCGTTGGTCGCAGGACAGATAAAGGGGAACGTCTACTGCAACTACGCACAGACCACAACCTGTTTCTGGCTAGCACTAACTTTCGGCACAGTCATCGCCGATGTGCCACCTGGCGTCCCCCTTCTGCATCTCAAGCCTGGACTCAGATTGATCACATCGCAATCAGCTACCGCTGACGCGGTTGTGTACAAGACTGCCACTCCTTTTGAAGTACCTATCTGGAATCTGATCATGCTCTGGTCTGCGCCAATCTTACCTTACTTTTCAGTGGACAACGAAGTGAAATCTTACATTTAAGGAGGAAACAGCTACTTTTTATGAAGAAAGTAAAAGAAGATTACGGTCCCAGAGCCAGCAAATAATGCACGACGTGGAATTCTCTGGGACGACATTCGTAGAACATGTTCAAGCCACCGAAGTCGGTGTTTCAAGATGTTGACACCAATTGCATTGTTGTCTCTGTGCCCGGACACACGATGCCGAACCTCTGCATTACTGACATGGTGTTGCCACTGAATGTCAGCAATCCTTCGGAGACAACGATGATCGGACACAGAGAGTCGTCTAACATCCTCAACTCGGAGAGGCCAGGTTTCACAAGCATAGAGCAAAACTGCTCTCACCGTCGCGTTGTAGATCCGACCTGATATCAAGAAACACTACGATTGTTGGCCTTTGATAAGTATGGCGGTGTTCTAACATTTGGCGGAGGGTGAAGAAATGATCAATACATCCTCGACCAGAACGAAACCCAGTCTGCTCCTCGCGAGTCAATCCTTCTCGGGTTCTGAACAACCTACGAAGTATGACGGAAGCCAATAGCTTGGACGCGATCGGAAGTAGACTTATCCCCCGATAGTTGTTACAGGAACGACGTGAACCCTTTTTAAAGATAGGGACGACTATCGACTCATTCCATGACGTTGGTACACTCTCTAGTTCCCAGACCTTCGTAAACATTGTCGTCAGTCCCTTAGTCAGAATGTCACCACCATCTTTAAAAAAAAGTGGTGTAAAAGCTAAACTCTGTTCACGCTAAACCACCGTGGAAAACATGGAAGCACTAGACGGTCGTTTCGTCCTATTATGGGACTCCTCAGCAGTGCGCATCCACGACCACGCCCCCACGAGATTTCAACCCAGGACCTATCAGTCTCGTGCGTACTGGTGAGTCTCACAATAGGACGAAACGGCTATCTAGTGCTTCTAGGTTTTTTATTATGGTTTAGCTTCAATTGACTCATGATCTCATTCATTGAATTTAAACAAAAATTGGCAATATTTACTTAATAAAATACTTGAAGTCGATAAAAGTAGCTATTATACAACCAGACAATGAATGTGATATAGTGCTCGAGTCTAATTACTAGAAACACCTGTTCCTGACGTAGATTATGCAGTAAAGTACTTTTTGTGATTCAGTGCTTAGTTAAGGGTGCTTGTGTATCTAGATAATATTCCTGTACTTCAACTTCCAACTCTGAACTTTAAACCAATGGCTTTTAAGCTTGTAAAACAAAGTGTACCAATGACACATTGAATTAAAGCTGATGACAGTATATAATAACACTGGTTTAATGCCTATTATCTAACTCTAACGGTTTTCAAATTACGTTTAAAGTCAGTTGGTAACAAAATCCTATAGGGTCATAAATTTAACTCACGGATTGTTGATCGTGTCAAGTCCTCTACTTTACTATAGTTTTATTTCATTTTGTCGTTGATTGTTTTATAACTAGGTATTACTTTCTGATTGGCTGATAAGAAGACTAAGGTCGTTAGTACGCAATTTTCATTAGAACCTATCCCTCATCCAAAACAATGAATAAATTATAAATTATTCGGCAATCTATTAAAGTCAAAGCAACTTACGAACTTTTGTAAGCTAACCCACTGGCTAGTAACATATTAGCAAGTGAATAAGCCTTTTCCACATAATCGGATTCATATTCATAGCTTGTAAATCGAATATTCATGCGCTATTAGGATAGTTAGGAAAAACAAAGTTTAAAATGATCAACTCATTGATGTGATTGGAGAATATTAAAACAAGAACAAATGAGTTTACAAAAGAATAGATATTAACCTCGTTTGCATCATCCGTCTTTTTCCGCTCAACTCATTTTTGTGTATTCATATATACTACTTTTATTATTCAGTAACCCGTACACTTATTTCTTGTGTAATATTCTTAAGTAATATTCATTTTCTTTGTCAGAATAATTATACTTTCTCAGCACTTGTTACAATAATTTCCGGTTTTTGTGCATTCTTCAAATTTTTAAGAGTTGTTGGAGATCTTGTTAAATTAGTGACTATCGATCCACAACTGATCCAGATAATTAACAGATGCTAGGGCGAACAGATTTTAGAATGATGAAAGCTACTAGTGGTTATAAAGACCCCTTAGTGGATGACACCAAGATCGATACTGTTGAATACTTTCCTAACTTTAGTTCATATGGAATACTTTTATGTAAGAAGATACTGTTGTAACCACAGAAATAATAAACTATTTGTCGTTACTAGGTATGTAATGCGACAGTAGATAATACACCACTAAACGAGAGATCATAATGTACAACGATACAGAATTCAGGAACAACACAATTGAGAACCAGATCATAGGTTAAACAAGTTTCATTAACACAAATACAAGTAGCTCATACACAATGAAACCTAGAGTACATAATAATGGTAAAAATTAATTTCCAACTTGGAACTGGCCCATAAATTTAACACACCTGTGTGCCCATTTGTTTACACTCACTAGCCAATCACATATAATTTTAATGACTGCACATTAAAGTTAACTTTTGTAATCAGAAGTATGACGTAATAACAAACAGACCGACAAATATACCAGGTATTATTCTGTTCTGATGGTATGCTGTTTGATGTAATAAGATGAGATGACATTCACTAACCTTAAGGAGATTTGGACCTATGACTTAACCGATTGCAGTTAGCCGTTAAAACTACTTAGTTTCCCAGAGCCTAGTTAATCAGAATTGTTTATAGGTTTACTCATTAAAAATGTTCACTTGTTGTTATTGATAAATTAATTACATTTTTCATCGTGAAAAATCAGTGCAAAAGACAATGAGGTATCTAGAAGTTATAATAAAAGATTAATATGACGCCATGTGAATTGAGCCTGATTTTATTGAAAAGTGAATGATCTATAGTCATCATATTCTTTAGTCATTCACATATGTTGAATAAATTCCATGTACGTTTGATTTGTACATTAGTGTGTTCCTTTTTCAGAGGAAAAAATCTGTTTTATTGAGTAGCTACCCTTCTAACTGATCTTAATTTATTGTGGTAGACGATTAGAACAAAGATACATAATTGAAGCATTTTTAATTAAGATTTATTTTTACCTAATAAACACAGAAATATATCAGTCAGCTATAACGAACGACCAAGCACATAAATAGATAAGTACGAGTTGCTACACCTTATCAACACAAGATGAACACCAAATTCATAGAAGCAGATACTTCAACGGTAGTAATGTGTAAAAGAAAGACTGCATATAAGGATATGATACAGGGAGAAAAATCTGTTCGTAGAAAGAAAGGTAAGGTAATTTTAATCTCACGGTTTAAGAGAAGAAAAAAATTGTATATACCTACGCCATTGTGATCGATTCTGAGCCATGTCACCCAGAGTTTCCAGCCATTGGTTAATATAGTCGCTCGAATCCCAACCAAGTGGTCTATATCTACCAACATAGCTAAAACCAGAAGTTAATGACTTTGTGGACTGACGCAACGTTTTTGTTCGACGCCCCTATATGGCTGAGTAAAGGTTCTATCAACAAGCTTTAATTACAACAGTAACAGGAAACTAAATAATGTAAAGAAGATGAAGACAATAATAACATGCATAATAAAATAGTAATTCTTTTCTTTTTTTACCTGATAATTTGATTCCAACTGTTCACAAGTTACTTTACGAATATATCGCCAGAATTCAGTATCACGAGATTGTATTTCAGTTGTATTATTGAGTATTGGTTTGAAAAAGTTAACTGATTCATTTCCATGATCAATTCCATATGGTGGATTTTTTTCATTTGATGATTGAATATCACGATTCGCTTGTACATAGACCTGTTGTAGTAAAATAAAATGGTAGAAGACCTATTTTTTATAATAGATATTATTTCCATATTTTTGATGTTAACGATTGCAATCGATCAGTGTCTGTCGGCTATGTGTATCCTCAGAGCATTATTTCAATGTTGCTATTTTGTTGCCAGTTTTAATGAATTTGGACTATAGCTAGTAGCAGTAGAATTCAAGAAAGGCGATTTATTCTGTGTGAAACTTGTCAGTAGAAAATACCTACATCCAATATCGATATTCAAAATTGTGAACTAAACCTAGTACCCATAGTTCTAATTGCTAATATGTTACATTTAATACAACTTGTGATTAATATTGAGGGAATCTACTCATGAAACACGTATTCCAGTAGAGATCGGTCAATTGAATTCTTTAACATCAACAAAGGAAAAGTATTAACCTTTATGAATACGTTCAAAGCCGTTGAACAAGTTCGAGTCTAATTGAACTCAGTGGTTAATGACTTGATACTCCCTATTTTCCAGCAGATGTCATTTAATGTTAGAAGCTTAGTTCTAAACATAGCGTTCGCTGATAAAGCTCAAACTAGAATACAGTAACTGGTCGATTTGCACCTAATTAGTGGAAGAATCAAAAAGATGCTATAAGATTCTTATGTGAATCCTATTTTAACTACAACTTTACTATTCAGAGTTACTGAAATATATGTTGTTTTCTTTCAATTTTGTTTAGATTTTCGAAGAGTCAAATGAAGTATCGTAGCCACAAATATTAGACGACAGTAGCGGAAATGTTTCATGAAAAACTTCTGCTTCGTACTATATATCTAACAACCTAACTAGTCGTTCACTTATCTAGTAAACAGCAACAACAGAGAGGGTTCATGTATTGATTCGTTTATTACTCTCATGTCGTTTTAACATTAATTTGACATCGTCCATCTCACTATTTAAAATTGAAAAAGTGATCTATTCAAAATGACACTGTTATGAGTGAAATATTCTGAATATAGGTTTGTAAGGCGACAATAAAACACAGATATTTTTAATTAACACATACTTACTTTATATAAGTGTTCAATGGGATTTCTTCGCAATTCAATCTGATCCCCATATTTTGAAAATCCCGATGCTAAGATATCTAAGGATTATTTTTTATTTATGAAAGTTTATATCATTAAATAGAATGACTTTAAAGAAATTATTTGATGCTTTGCTTTAGATAAATTGTCTCACTAAGAACTAAACTATTTAGGTTTTCAGGTGGGGTTTTTGATTAAGAGAGGGTGAAATTCATACGTCGCTTAATAAACAGCTTGGTACCGTACAATGTAATCACAGACATTTGTACGGTATTACTTAAATCAGTAGCTAAATTTTTATTGGCATAATTGGTAGTTTTGAATCAAATCTATCGACGAAATAATGAGTTTGGTTATTGGACAATGTAGCATTAGTTATAATCGAATGATTGATTCATGTAATCCATTTGTTTTTCGTTACGCTAAGAATTCTTGCGATTCAGAACCATAGACACACACTATCTAATGTTACGGGGATGAAACTAGGTAGAATATATGCTCTTGTCCTTCTACCGGCGGTAAGGCAAAGGCATATAAGCTGAGATCTTTGTCAAATTTAATACCAGGTTGATCCGGTAGTATGGATTTATTTTTCAACTTATACTTATCGTTTGGCTTTGTGAGCTTAGGTACATGATATACATGAATGTTCCCAACTCATCAATTTTGTAGAGATGAAGATTAGTGACGAGATCCACTCATTATCTCATTCGGTTACCCAAGATTGCAACCGCATTGTAACTAAGGATGTTCGATTGCATAATATGAATGTGCAAGTTGTGGCATCAGGCTGAAATATTAGCAAACCAATAAGCTAGATTACTCGGTTATCGTTTGCAGATTTGCATATACCACAATGTACTTTAGCGTTCTCCATCTACGGCTTAATTAAGGACTTAAATAGATGGTTGTGTAAACATATAAAAGCCTGCTGCCTTTTTCTGAATGCTAGTTATCCTACGGTGCATACAAATTCAATTCATGTAGAGGCAGGCGCAGAAGATATCTCGAAGGGTGATGAAAATTTCAAAACTGAATTATATAGCTCAGATAATACAATACCGACAAAATAACAAACAGCAGCTGAAATTCTCTCCACCTATAGCATTTATAAACAGGCTCAAGACATTTAGAAAGGTCAAATAAATTAGAAAAGGTGTCCAGAAAGCATACAAAATAGTTACCGAATTGAGTACCCCAATCACCAATGTAATTTATTCCAATTACTTTATGTCCAAAAGCTTCATTGATGTTTTTAACAAAATTTCCTGTTACAGTAGCTCGGAAATGCCCCAGGTGAAATGGTTTGGCAATATTTGGGGAGCTTATGTTAATGAAGGCAGAACGAAGAGAAAAGAGATTGATGAAAATGTCAGTTCACTTAAAGAAGAAGTACCTGTAGTCTACAACAACAGTTTCACAGTGATTCGAACTACCATCACTACCCATTAGTACTCTTGTAACGGGATTAGTGAATAAAAGATTTCGCAAACAGTTTTTTGATTCTGTAGATATGAAGGAACAATGAAAACATAATAACTCACTTTCCATTACAATGGTTCTGATTTATTAGGACTGAAAGTGAACCACAACGTAATTGGCACCAATGGTCATGAGCATAATGGTAGTACATATATCTATGTCGAAAGTCTAAAACCCAGAAAAAAACTACTTAAGTGAACAGCGATAATAATCCTGGTGAATCTTATATTTATTTGTAGCTGTAAGATATTTATTCAAAGGAAACCAAATGAAAACGCTACATGTCCACGCTCTTTAAAAAATACCAAATGTAATTTTACTCAACCGTCCAAAGTAAGTACACACTATTGCATTAACACATTGATAGGTGTTTTCTGTTCCCATTTCCGAAGTGCAACCTTTCTGGAAAAGGATTTGATACACGCCATGGGTACAGCAAGCCAGGCTTTCTTGCATGACGCAAGAGATAAAGTTAATAAACGCGGATGGCGATCCAAAGAAAAGGTTAGACAAAGCAATAATACATATTGCACTTCGATTGTTACTTTATGATCAATGTTTATAGTGATAAAACTTTTGTCATATTCCTCTTGTTTTCAGCTGGCTTCACAGGCTTTATCTGACGTAACTGTAAGTTATTTGTTCGGATTATTGAAAGCATGGTCATTCTGTTAGTACGTCATCGACGTTTAGAACCTACCAAATGATCGTTCAACTTCTGCGTAACGTGTTACAGGAACGAACCAATGAAAACGTCGTATAAATGAATAATGTGTAATTTTATTAACTATAATAAACATTTAAATATTTCAAAAATTGGTCTTTGAATGGAACCGATAAATCGATTGACGTAAAGTTTCTTTGGCAACACGTAGTTGATGAAGCATAATGTTACATCCCGGTAAGAAATGTACGTATGTATTATCGCTAGGTGTTCCGTGATATCCGCAGATTTTGGTATAACTTTTGCGTTAAAACGGTTATGTGGAGGTACCCCAAAGTGGGGGGGAAAGCTAAAGTTTGTGGAAACCCTAAAACGTTTGGGGAAATGTAGGTGAAAAAGCCCAACTTTTGGGGAAATTTAGGGGAAAAACCCCAACGTATGGGGATTTTGTGCCATTTTCCCAAAGTTTCAAATGGCGGCTTCCCCAAAATTGGGAGCTTGAGCATGCTTAATAATGGTTAGGAAAGATATTTCAAAATTAGGTACGTCAGCTAATAACTGCATAGGTGTACAGTATACATTGATCCGTATGTGTTTGAACATTTAGTGACTACTCACACTGATGTGGTGTTGGATAAACCAGGAATGAGGTGACGGTAAAAACACAATGCCTACATAAGTATTACTATAATTTACCTTATTCTAAATTATGACACCCAGTAGATGCAAAATAAACAGGAATTAAATTATCGCTAATTAAATCAGGATTTGTAAGAAACTAAGTTAAAATAAAACCTACTTAACTTAAACAGAATTTTAATATACATATTAACCAACACATTTATAACTTTCTTAGTTACCATTTTCCGAGCCAACGGGGTCGTCAAACGCCTATCGATGTACAAAATTCGAGGTTATGCAGAAAGAACCTCGTTTTTCGGGGGTAGTACATCCACGAAAAGAAGCAAAGTAAATTACTCGTGGTGTAACGCACACGTTGAACAAGTGGCGGAATATTGGTAACAGTGTACAAAAATCAATGCTTAATCGATCCACTATCTTAATAATAACATGTGTAAAGCGATTGACTTCTTTGCTCGTGCTTCTCTTTATCTCGTTACGAAATCAGATTTTTAGCAATAAGCAATGGACAGTCAGTGCGTTTTTTTCAGAGAGGTAGGGTTTCAAGGCGCTAGCGGTTATTCGATTACGAGGCAGCAGGTTGACCAAATTAAGTGTAAAAAGTAATTAATTAATGATTCTTCTCCAAATAAATGATTAGTTCAAAGAATAAACAAATAAGCTCTCTTGTTGATCGGTAACTCAGACAGTGTGAGCTGATCAAATCGAAAGAGTTAGGGGGGAACCCGAGATGGTTGTGATCAAGATAGAAGACAGTTACTGATATACGTTATTGATAACGGTTGTATATCAAGTGACATACATTGGATAGATTTTTCAAGAGGAAGATGTTAATGCACTGGTCAACAGGAAACCCTGGACTTAGGCTTCGTGCTACTCGGCACCTGTAATATTGAGGGAACTGGTGCTCCCTGACGGATTCGATCCCGTGCCACCCAGTTACACAGTCAGAAACGTTGACGCCGACCTATTCAGGCCGTGAGCGACCTCTTGTAAAACTACGATGTAATCACCATTGATTGGTCACTGGGTGGTGATCAATGTCATGTGTGTCAAGTCCTTCTTAGTGCAGATCCAATGCTACCAAGTCTCCGCCTAAAGCCTTCAACTGAAAGGGCTGTGGTCATTTCGGCTTGGTGGGTATTCCAAATAAGGGCAACTCCCAATGACAAAAGGTGGGAACATACTCTGGTTTTTCCTCTTAGATGTTCAGTACTTGGACAATCCCCCTGAGGAACGCTGGGGTGATGTCCAGAAGATAAGCTCGCATTTGGACGGCCTGGATCACTTAATATATTGTATTTTGTTATCAGATCATCCATTATCTTCCTATTGTACAGAGAGAACAATCTCAAGTGTCGGAGTCTGTCCTAGTAAGATTTACGGATTAGCTATTTCACACACTTGGTAGCTCGTCTCTGTATTTGATCTGCGAGATTAATAACTCTGATGAAGAGCAGAGGAGCAGTGAAATTTCAAACCCCAATATGGAGCCTTGCGTACATTTCAACGAGTTAAGAACACCACTGTAAATATACATGTCGTGAATCTTCGTATATAACTATTTACTTAACTCACATTAGTTATAAACAGAATTAAGTAAGTGAAATATGAGAATTGTTTTCAAATATGTGTATTTCATACAATCGGTAATCTAAACAAGCGATCAGAGAAACGAAGCAAAGATAGGAGGGTGAAATGAAATGAGGCACGGTGGAGAATGCTTGTAAGGCAACTTATTTTACCCAAGCATGGATCGATATTCATAGTCAGCAAAAATGAGTTACAGACATGTGATGAGTAAGATAAGAAATTCACACAGATACTCTCACATTGATAGTCAAGACCAATAAACGAATAAGTGACAAGGTCGAACTTTAGTTTCAGAAGAATGAATAGATTGGTCTGTCCGGGGGCTACAATAAGCCATGTGTATGGCAGAGTAATTGTGAACGATAATCTATGGGCCATGTTATGTGTGTTCACAAGCCGAAATCGAAGGCCAAAGTTTACGTTTTTGAACGACAATTTTACAGGCGAAAATGGTAATTGTACAAATAGTAAGAATTGATGAAAAATGAAAGTAGTAACAAAACTAATTACAAGAAGGTCTAATTTATCTTTCCCTCACACATTTGCTGAGGCTACATCTTCAATGTAGTTTTAGTTGTTGTCTAAGCTCGCTAAAGCTACTAGCTTGAGGTCGTTCTCTTTTGAAAGTTCGGGAGTGGATTTCCATGGAGGACGTACTTCTCCTTTGTCAAACGAGACGGAATGTTCAGAACATGTCATTTTGTCAGTTAAATTTAAACGAACTGTCAACTACTCTTGTCTGGTCTTTTTGAATCTCAGGTGGATCCGCTTTATTTCAAATGAGCCACTAGATTTCCCAGTCGTTCGTATAGATTATCGTCGATTAGCCAGTTTTATCCAACACATTAATAATAAAGATCGGGAACATAAGTTTACAAAACACCTGTTTCTTTTGAAACTCCCGATGCTGAAACCATCAAACATGCATATACTCCATTGTCCTTGGTACGAAGAATCCTGTTGAACAGGTAATTTTGGAGTCAAAATAGAAATGAATCAGTGAAACCCATCTTTGCAATCTTAATCTTTGAAAGATTTATGAGAAGTCTAGAGTTATAACATGAACCGTTATAACTTGGCCACAGCAAGTCGTCATTTTTCAAAACGTTAGATATGACTGTGGTTTTGTCATTACTTACTATTGGTTCACGAACATGGACATCTTCTACTAAAAGCTGATGATTTTAATCGCTCGAAAATTCCCATTATATTAAAACACAGTTGTATGAACGAAAAAAATTCTTCCCAATAATTTCTCATCAGGTTAAACAATTATAAATCCAAATTAATAGTCTATAAAGTTGGCCAGATTTGTATTCAGCCTTAAATCTGGCCAATTTTATAGATTAATAATTTGGATTTATAATTGCAGAACCTTATAAGAAATTATTGAAAAGAATATTCTTCGTTCATACAGCTGATGATTTGCTAGTAAATAGTCGGTTTTCCATCCTATCCCATCTCATGGCATCACCTACATGTTCAGCCAATCCTGAACTTGTCATGGCTGTGACAAGTCACTCATTAAAACTTTCTGCAAGGGTTTTATCCTTCTTGATTTGATTTGGAAATAGAGTGTGGATGTCTCCATTCAGTAGTATGTGGTCAAATTCCAAGGGTGGTAATTGTAAAGTCGTATTAGCCATCTTATTTATTTGGTTGTTTATACATATAGACTTGGCTCAAATTCTATAGAGGCACAATGTTACTTATTGTGTTAATAGATGGAATATCATATTTTTGTTACGAGACGTATTATTTATTATGGTCAGCAGTTTCATACTTTCCTCGATAAAGTTCATTAAGATCTAGGAAATGCAGGTCAAAAGAAAATGATGGGATTTATCAAACAAATATACTGAAGAGCCAGACAAAGAGAGGACGAGTAAAACTATTAGAACCTATTAAAAGCCTCAGATGTGTTATTTTAAAAACTACATCTAGTGTATAGAATATGTAAACACAAACAACTGGTTACTATATAGTAAATAAGGGTTCGTTGAACGTAGTAATCTAGCTTTTAACACACCACAAGCGCCATATATTATTTTACGAAAGTACAGGTCACAGAAATGGGATATAAGTGTCGTCTTATTCATTGATTCCATGTATATGAGTCAACTCGATAAACATTTCGTTTGCTGTAAACAGGAAAGTAAATGAGGTTTCTAGTTGAGTTGTTACGAATACCAATTCATCCAGACCAATCATTAGTTTCATCTAAATCTTGGTGATTCTGAAATGTCATTCTCAACTTATAGGGTGAAATTGATTCGAAGACGATGATCGTTAGCATGATGCTTAAACAAGAGAGATCTGATGACTAGTGACTTTCTCATTGTAATATCCGTATCAAAATTGCTTCCAAATGCACTTATACGATAATTTAATCACAAAATCTACTGGTGTTTAGATTTGTAAGAATAACTTTTACAACAGCTTTACTAACATAATTGTTCTAGGATTGAGCGACTACGTTGTTTAATACAGAAATTTCAATTCGACATAATTGTATACTCATCTTGGGTTTATATACAAACCAAATAGACTACATAGTATCGTAAAATAAAAAATAACATATGTACATAATCTAGCCAAAAGTGGCTGTGAATGTGGGAGACTGTAATTAATAAACAGGGCATAACTTAAGAATGATAAATCGTATAATAATAGTCTATGGGTCAAAATAAATCTTGTAATAAGAAGAACATGAATATGAATAGCTTAGTTATTTAACAATTATACAATAATTCTCAATAGTTACCATTCATAATTCTCATCGGGATATAACACTTTTATCTTTTCTTCTTTATTCTTTGTCAAAATTTTCAAATGAAGACTGATTTATAGATTGTTCAGATTTAGAATTTCAAGACAGATTATGTAGAACGATGAGAGAATTGTGAGGGTTATGACTTTTAGGAACTATCATGCGTAAAATTATTGCTTATATTTATATTATACTTATAGTTAAAAGATAATTAGATTATTACATTCTTATATTTTCTTATTTATAAGCTTTCATATGCTTCATTAACAATTGTCGGATGTATTATTTTTCTTTAAGCTGTTGTTAATTAAATGAGAATATATTATTCAATTCCTCTTCAATTATTCAGAAGTTATATGCACATTGTAATATTTTGTGTTGCTGGTTAGTCAAGAGTTCACTCTATATTATCATTATTATGATAAATTTGAGTCATAATATAAGCTGAACCCCATGTCATGTTTTCTCAACTGATTGAACACTGAAGTAAAGACTATGCTGCATCGAGGACTAATAGAAATGAAGAGCATCTTTGCCTCATCTCAAGATAATCATTCTAAGTTAAAACATGTCATTTGTTGAAGGATAAGAGTGTCTCAAAAGAGGGGATTATAAACTTGCTTCAAATTTGTGAATCTTATCCAGTGATATTGATTATGTATATTTATAACGGTTATAATAACAGAACTATGGACCAAAGTCAATTTTTTATAATATATCCTTTGAACAAACAGATTACATTTATCTGAAAAAAAAGAACCGAATATTGTTTATTCCACTGAATGGTTGTTAACATTACTATAACAATACATCCGTTCTTCGAAATGTTATAGAAGATTTACAGCTGAAGCGTATATTTTTTGTGGCAGTGTGTTCCCAGACCTAAACAGTTTGATTGTTGAGTTTTCATTGTCGTAATGGACAATACAGTTAGCGCCTATTTTACATAGTGAGTGCATAAATGGTAGTCATGGTAGGTTTGGTTACTTTCATTTGTTTTACATTCATGTTACACAAT